TTACGCTTCCAATATGATTCATTCATCTTCGCTTTCGGCGGTTAGTAGCAGCAACCCAGCAGCCATGGCGGCTGGGACGATGTCGATCGGAGAGCTCACAGAAGACGGATACTTCCCGCCATGTCCGTCCAACTGACTCACCACATCCCGTGCTACGATCCAAACATCGCCGTCCCACTTTCCCTTCGCAGACAAACGTTTTCCGCGAGCGACACACTGCCGCCTCCTTCAGCCCGCCCGCGCTGCCTGATTCCCCCTCCCCCCGGCTACCAGCGCGCGCCCCCCTGGCCGGATAGCCTATGGAGCGTGTGGCGGAACAACGTACCGCACTCTAAGATGCTCAAGGACCCGCGGAACGTCCTGTGGATGGAGCTACGTGGCAACACATGGCATTTTCCCGCACGCTTTGACGCTATGCCCGAAGCGGACGGCGCGGAGCGGTACGTGGCGCAGCTGCGCAACTTCATTCCGTTCGGGTCGCGCCTGCGCACGGCTCTCGACATCGGCGCGGGGGTGGGGGGATTCGCGGTGGAGCTGCTGCGCCAGGGCATGATCACTGTGTCGCTCGGCCCGCGCGACGGGTTCCGCGGGCAGGCGCAGTTTGCGCTCGAGCGCGGGCTGCCCGCGCTGGTGGGCATCCTGGCGACGATGCGCCTGCCGTTCCCGTCGCTCGCGTTCGACCTCGTGCACTGCTCGCACTGCCAGTCCCCTTCGGCCTCCCCAGTACGTGCGCCGCCACCCCGCGCTCTCTCGTGGCCTCTCGCGCATCCCGCGCACCCCATCCAGTGCCCTCGTGCTCTCGCACGCGAGAAGTTTGTTGCTCATTTGAATAGCAGGGTCCCTGAATTCCCTTCCCCTCACCCGCCTTCCCTCCCCACATTCCCCCCCTCCTCCCCCCATTCAATCCCCCCCCCCCTCTCTCTCCAGAACGGCACGCACCTGTTCGAGGGTGGCCGCGTGCTGCGCGCGGGGGGCGTCTTCGTGCTGGCGGGGCCGCCCGTGCGCTGGCCGGGCAGGGCGGCTGAGTGGCGCACGCTGCGCGATAAGGCGCGCGCGCTGTGCTGGCGGCTGGTGCTGGTGGTGCCGCACGTAGCCATCTGGCGGAAGAGCAGGGAGGGGGTTGAGGTGGCGGGCGGAAGCGGGGAAGCGGGGGGGAAAGAAGATGGTGTCCTGGAGCCAAGGAATATAGAGAGGCGGAACAAGAGGGGGGCGGAACGGGGGAGAGGAGAAGGGAGAGGAGGCAGTGAAAGGGAGGAGGTAGAGGATTCGCAGGAGGGAGGGGCAGAGAGAAAGGAGGGGAGGGCGGAGAGAGAGGAGGAAGAGGCAGAGAGGGAGGAAGGAGTGGGGAGAGGGAGGAAGGAGGGGCGGAGAGGGAGGAGTTAGGGAGTGATGTAACAGGCGAGGAGGAGGGAGAGGTGAAGCGGGAGGAGGGAGAGGAGAAGCGGGAGGAGGAGGGAGAGGAGAAGCGAGAGGAGGAGGCGGGCGGAGGGAGGGGCGAGATGGGCGCGGAGGTGTGTGCGGCGGACGACCAGCCCGACGCCGTGTGGTGCGTGCCCCTGCTGCCACCGCCTGCCACTGCCTGCCATGCCGCCGCCCTACCCCCCACCCGCCCACTGCGATCATGCACGCTGCACCTCCACCCTCGCCCCGCGCCCACCGTACTAGCCCCCCTTCCTCAACGACTCCTATCTGCTTTCTCCTTTTCCTCGGCCCTCCTCCCAACCCACCCCCTTCAGGTACTCCCCCTTGCAGCTTGCGCCATCCGCCCTCCCCCCTCCGCGTGGAGCCTCCCCCCCTGGCCGCATCGCCTGTTGGTTCGCCTCCCCCGCATCTACGACTCCCCCCTCATGCACCCGCCCACAGATCCGCCGCCCAACGCGGTGGAGGGGGGGTGCTGGGGGAAAGGGGGAAGAGAAGGAAGGACAAGGGAAGGTGAGAAGGAGAGGGAAGGCACGGGGAGGGAAAGGCAGGGGAAAGGAGGGAAGCGCAGGAGTGGGAAAGGAGGGAATGAGATGAAGAGTGAGGGGGTCCGCAGATGGGGGAGGAGAGGAGATGCAAGAGGGCGAGGAAACGGGGCGAAAGAAGGGGGAAAAGTGGGTTGAAGGAGGGGGGGGATAAGGCTGTGGAGCAGGTAAGGGAGAGCAACAGCACTGAGGCCCCTGTTGCTGCTGCTGCTGCTGCTGCCGCTGCGGCTGCTGGTGGTGTTGGTGGGCGGCGACTGCTCAGCTCTGATGTGCATGGCGCTGGTGGTGCTGCTCATGGTGAAGGGGGGAGGGGGAGGGGAGGAGAGGGAGGAGGGGAAGGGGGGGAGGAGGAGAGGGAGGAGGGGAAGGGGGAGGAGGAGGAGAGGAGGAGGGGAAGGGGGGGGAGGAGGGAGAGGGAGGTGGGAAGTGAGGCAGACAGGACTGAGAGAGCAGCGGCAGGGCAGGAGGGGGAGGAGGGCGGCGACATGCGCAAGGCGCTGAAGGAGGAGCAGCAGAAGTCACTCACCATGCAAACGCAGCAACGCAGTCAGCAGTACAGCAAGCGTCAGAGCACGGGCAGGGCTCGCAGCACTGTCGCGCGGCGGCAGAACGCGCATGAACATGGAGAGCCGGGCGCTGCCTGGGCACACGACCGCCTGGCGCACCTACGAGGCGCTGTTCCTAACCACCTGCGGCCTGGCGGAAGGCACCCGGAAGACGGCGAGGGCGCTGAGGGGGACGGTGGGGAGGCCAAGGGGGAGAAGAGCGAGGAGAAGGGGAGGAGCAAGGAGGAGAGCAGGCCGGGGAAGGTGCGGAACGTGCTGGACATGAATGCGGGGGTGGGGTCGTTTGCGCGGCGGCGCTGCAGGGGAGGAGGAGGGAGGGGACGGGGGGAGCGAGTGTGGGTGATGAACGTGGTGGCGCTGAGCAGTAGACTCAACACCCTGGCAGCCGTGTTTGACCGGCGGTGCTCGTGGGCACCCTGCATGACTGGTGTGAGGCGTTCTCGTCGTACCCACGCGCATACGACCTCGTGCATTGGCAAGGCGTCTCCTCCTCCTTCCACCCGTGAGTCCCGCTGCCCTTTCTGCTGCCGTTGGAGGCGAGGCATTGTTCGCTGGGAAGAGATGGAGCACGAAGCACATAGCGTGTCACATCTTTCATTTCATGGGAAAGGTTTCTACTTTGTCATTCTCCCCAACCCCCTCCGTGCCACTCCACAGGGACCGATGTGATATAGATGACGTGATTATAGAGGTGGACCGGCTTTTTGAGACCAGGAGGCACAGTGATTATAAGAGACCTGCCGGCCGTGCTGGAGGGCGTGCAGAGGGCTGCGAGGGCAGCACACTGGAACGTGACGCCCACACACCAGGAAGGGCAGCAAGAGAGCACCTGGTGGTGGCTCGTAACCAGAGAGCGTGGTGGGTGGCTGGCCGCTGTGGAGGTGGATGCACGTGGGGTTGAGATTGTAGACGCTGATTTGTAATGAAATCAGGTATCCAAGGAAGCAAATTGCATTACCAAGCAAATGCTTCGCTCCTGCAATTGGACCCCGGCAACTCGTTAGCAGCCAAGCAAACTATACAATCGAAGGGGCTGAGTTAACAAGTTGGGCTGTGCAGCGTTGCCATGCCCGGCATAACCATACTTACAAAATTGGCATAGGAGTAGCACAGCCATCCTTTTATGGAAAACAAGCTAACTTTATCATCTATGAAGACCTAAACCACGGCAAAAAACTCCGTTGCCGGGATTTGAACCCGGGTCGCCTGGGTGAAAGTCGGTATCCTAACCAGGCTGGACGACAACGGATGTCTCGCTAGAATCTTGTATTTGTATATTCTTGTTAGGTTACTGAAACCTTTTCATGCATTTGCTGATCTGTATGATCGGACTTGCAGATGATACCAGGTGCTGAAGCCGTGCCTTCGGTGCGGGCTGGCAGGGATGCAGGAAGCATCCATGGGTGCGGATGGGCGCTCTCCATGCTTCCGCCGCTCCTTGAATCGGCGCGCTATGAATCAGCGCAGCGGAGCCCGGCGAGTTCCACTCGCGCAGGATCATGCCTCCCTCGCAGATTCGCGTGCCGACGGGGGGTTCTCAGCAACCAGTCGAAGATAGCGCTGCGCGCGTCGTGTGACCGCCTGGCAGGCGGAAGAGTTGGTTGGGGTACAGACTATGCTCGCACCGCCGCGGCAGTACCTCGCTGCCGCTCCGGTAATCGCGGCGGCCGTGGCTCCCCGCGCGGGATTGGGGGATGGTGTGGGGAGTGGTGCGGCGGAGACCAGCAGGGGAGGCGGGTCGTATTTGGACGGCGCGATACTGTTCTGGCGCGACGCACGGTGAGAGGGAGAGGAGAGAGTAGGTGTGACTGTAGAGGGATAGTGAGTGAGAGGGAGAGAGGTTGAAGTTGGAGAAATTGTGAGGGGGGGAGAGAGTGAGGGAAACTGGAAATAATCTTCATGCCCGTTCCCCTTCCCACCCCTCAATCCCCCTTGAGGCCCGCGTGCCCGTCCCCCCGCTGCAGGTCCGCCTACTCCGCGGATGCGCTGGGCGTGGAGATGGCGGCGATCGCGCTGCCGGCGCTGCTGGCGCTCGCCGCCGAGCCCGTCGCGTCGCTCGTTGATACGTTCTACATCGGCAGATGGGTGAGGGCAGATGGGTGAGGGCAGATGGGTGAGAGCAGATGGGTGAGGGCAGATGGGTGAGAGCAGATGGGTGAGAGCAGATGGGTGAGAGCAGATGGGTGAGAGCAGATGGGTGAGAGCAGATGGGTGAGAGCAGATGGGTGAGAGCAGATGGGTGAGAGCAGATGGGTGAGAGCAGATGGGTGAGAGCAGATGGGTGAGAGCAGATGGGTGAGAGCAGATGGGTGAGAGCAGATGGGTGAGAGCAGATGGGTGAGAGCAGATGGGTGAGAGCAGATGGGTGAGAGCAGATGGGTGAGAGCAGATGGGTGAGAGCAGATGGGTGAGAGCAGATGGGTGAGAGCAGATGGGTGAGAGCAGATGGGTGAGAGCAGATGGGTGAGAGCAGATGGGTGAGAGCAGATGGGTGAGACCAGATGGGTGAGAGCAGATGGGTGAGACCAGATGGGTGAGAGCAGATGGGTGAGAGCAGATGGGTGAGAGCAGATGGGTGAGAGCAGATGGGTGAGACCAGATGGGTGAGAGCAGATGGGTGAGAGCAGATGGGTGAGACCAATGGGTGAGAGCAGATGGGTGAGAGCAGATGGGTGAGAGCAGATGGGTGAGAGCAGATGGGTGAGAGCAGATGGGTGAGAGCAGATGGGTGAGAGCAGATGGGTGAGAGCAGATGGGTGAGAGCAGATGGGTGAGAGCAGATGGGTGAGAGCAGATGGGTGAGACCAGATGGGTGAGCAGATGGGTGAGAGCAGATGGGTGAGAGCAGATGGGTGAGAGCAGATGGGTGAGAGCAGATGGGTGAGAGCAGATGGGTGAGACCAGATGGGTGAGAGCAGATGGGTGAGAGCAGATGGGTGAGAGCAGATGGGTGAGGGCAGTTCTTTCAATGAAACGGGTTGTTAGTCAGCGATGGGGCAGAAGAGATAGCTAATCAAAGAATAAGGGATCGGACATGCTTCCACAAATAATTTCCTCTTTTGTCATTCTAAGACGGTATGGCATGACATGGCATGGTAAGATGCTGACCCATCCTTTCTGGGTCCCGTGACTCTAACCGCTCTCCTCCTCCTCTGCCCCCGTGTGCGGCGCGTGGCAGGCGCGGAGGAGCTGGGGGGGGGTGGGGGTGGCGGTGGCGGTGGTGGGCGTGGTGTCCAAGGTGCTCAACGTGCCGCTGCTCAACATCACCACGTCCTTCGTCGCCATGGACCAACACCTCCTCAATCACCCACCGCACCAACCCCTCCTCAATCACCCACCTCACCAACGCCACGTGCAACATCACCCGCAGCAGCTACAGAGCTCGCCCTCACTATCATCCGCCTCCTCTAACCTCTGCCGCCTCCCCCCGCCCGCGTCCAAGCCCGTGGTGCCGTCGGTGTCAGCGGCGCTGCTCATGGCCGTGGTGCTCGGCGCATTAGAGGCGCTTGCTGCTGGCGGTGGCGGCGGCGCCGCTGCTGGGGGGTGATGGGTGTGGGGCCCTTATCCCCCATGCATGCGCCCGCGCTGCAGTACCTGCAGGTGAGGGCGGCGGTGTCGCCCGCGGTGGTGCTGTTCCTCACGGCGCAGGGCGTCTTCCGCGGTCTCAAGGACACCCGCGACGCCCCTCGCTGCCATCCGGTGAGCCCCAATGCTTCACCTGGAATTGCGCTTGAGATCAGAAGAGGCTTTAGGTGAGATTAGCATATTAGGAGAATGCAGAAGAGGATACTACGTGCACAGCCTGTGCGTTTGGAGAACAAACCACATCCCTGGTTTCGCTCTTCCACCTGCCCTTCCCCCGCTTGCAGTGGAGCGGCAACGTGGTGAACATCCTGCTGGACCCGCTGCTCATCTTCTCCTGCGGCTGGGCGTGTCCGGCGCTGCCAGCGGCCACGGTGGGCAGCACCAGTAACGAGCATGGCGGGGTGGCTGCTGCTGCGACTGAGTGCCACAGTGCACCTCATCCCGCCCTCGCTCTCCCTCCTCTCCTTCCACCGCTTTCTTCACGTCCGGTGAGCCTGCCACTCACAACAGCGTTCGCATCAGCATCAGCGCATCAGCATCAAGCGCATCAGCATCAGCGCATCAGCATCAGCGCATCAGCATCAGCGCATCAGCATCAGCGCATCAGCATCAGCGCATCAGCATCAGCGCATCAGCATCAGCGCATCAGCATCATCGCATCAGCATCAGCGCATCAGCATCAGCATCAGCATCAGCGCATCAGCATCAGCGCATCAGCATCAGCATCAGCATCAGCGCATCAGCATCAGCGCATCAGCATCAGCGCATCAGCATCAGCGCATCAGCATCAGCGCATCAGCATCAGCGCATCAGCATCTCGCATCAGCATCAGCGCATCAGCATCAGCGCATCAGCATCAGCGCATCAGGCATCAGCGCATCAGCATCAGCATCAGCATCAGCGCATCAGCATCAATGCGCATCAGCGCATCAGCGCATCAGCATCAGCGCATCAGCATCATCAGGCATCAGCATCAGCGCATCAGCATCAGCATCAGCGCATCAGCATCAGCGCATCAGCATCAGCGCATCAGCATCAGCGCATCAGCATCAGCGCATCAGCATCAGCGCATCAGCATTAGCATCAGCATCAGCATCAGCGCATCAGCATCAGCGCATCAGCATCAGCGCATCAGCATCAGCATCAGCATCAGTGCATCAGCATCACGCATCAGCATCACATCAGCATCAGCGCATCATCATCAGCGCATCAGCATCAGCGCATCAGCATCAGCATCAGCATCAGTTGCATCAGCATCAGCTGCATCAGCATCAGCACATCAGCATCAGCGCATCAGCATCAGCGCATCAGCATCAGCGCATCAGCATCAGCGCATCAGCATCAGCGCATCAGCATCAGCGCATCAGCATCAGCATCAGCGCAGCGCATCTGCATCAGCGCATCTGCGTCAGCATCAGCATCAGCATCAGCATCAGCATCAGCATCTGCATCAGGATGTGCATGTGCATGTGCATGTGCATGTGCTCGTGCATCTGCTCCCCCATCTCCCTTTTCCCCGTCTGCCAGGGCGTCTTCCCTCTCAACCCTGCACCGCGCCCTCTTCCCCGTGCATCCTCCCTGCAGGCGGGCTGCTACTGGGGCGAACGGTGGGCGCTGTTGGGGGCGATGGCGGTGGGGACGAGCATGGCGGCGAGGCAGGGGGCGGTGCCCATGGCGGCACACCAGCTCGCTCTGCAGCTCTGCCTCGCCGCCTCCCTGCTCTCTGACTCCGTTGCCCTCGCTGCTCAGGTGCGCCCAGGTGGATCCTCAGGTGGTTTTCCAGGTTGGTTTTCAGGGTATCTTGTAATTTGAGGACTGATTTCGTGCACACATTTGGTTCTCACATAATAGTTTTTTTTTTCCTGTGTGCGTTCCCTCATGTGCATGCATGTGCTTATGTGCTCATGTGTGATGTTATGTGTGATGTTATGTGTGATGGCATGTGTGATGGCATGTGTGATGGCATGTGTGATGGCATGTGTGATGGCATGTGTGATGGCATGTGGTGATGGCATGTGTGATGGCATGTGTGATGGCATGTGTGATGGCATGTGTGGCGCCATGTGTATCAGACCCTATTGGCATCAGCCTTTGCACGCAACGACACGGTCATGGTGCGAGCCATCATGCTGCGATCGCTGCAGGTAAGAGGCCTAGGGGGAAAGGCAACCACATGCTGGCACGCACCACATGCTGCACGCACCACACACATGCTGCACGCACCACATGCTGCACGCACCACACCACATGCTGCACGCACCACATGCTGCAACGCACCACATGCTGCACGCACCAATACCAATGCGAATGCCAGCACCTTCTTTCTTGCTTGTGACACCATCGCCTCTTCACTCACACTAATCGCTGTGTCATTCATAGCCCCGCCCTTCTACCACCTCATTCATTGCTCGCACCCACCATCACCCTCCCTCCGGCACTTCATCCACCGCTCTCACGCGTGCAACCCATCCCCTCCTCCCTTGTGTACCCGGCAGATAGGGCTGGGCATGGGGGCGGTGATGGGGGTGGTGCTCTCGCTGTCAGCGCAGCTGCTGCCAGCGCTCTTCACCTCGGATGACCGTGTGCTGCTGCAGGCGGTCGCCCTCATGCCGGTGAGACATAGCCTTCTTGCCTCTGAGAATTTCCATTCTTTTCCCTCCGCAAACTGGTTCCCTCCGCAAACTGGTTCCCTCCGCAAACTGGTTCCCTCCGCAAACTGGTTCCCTCCGCAAACTGGTTCCCTCCGCAAACTGGATCCTTCACCACCAAGCAGCCATCCATCGCTCCCGACTCACTGCTTCCCATGAGCTTTCCTCTCTGTGTCCCCTCTCCCTGACTGCAGTTCGCAGCGGCGATGCAGCCCCTGGCGAGCATGGCGTTTGTGTTTGACGGGCTGCACTAACGCGCCACCGACTTCGCCTTCGCTGCCCTCAGGCCATGGTGCGCTACTGTCTTGCCATCATCACCAGCCTTGTGCTCCCGGACCCATGCTCTCTGCTCAATGCACATTCAACCTTGTTGAATCCCTCTCTAATGACCCGTTGGTTTACTTGTTGCAGATGGCGCTGGCGCCAGCAGCAGCAGCAGTGCTGGTGTATGCACCGAGCGAGTGGGGCGTGGAGGGTGTGTGGATCGGCCCTCTCTCTCCTCATGGCTGCCCGCATGTTTGCCGGCTTCCTCAGGTCAGCCACCGCTTGCTTGCCCTGCTCCTCCAGTGCTCTGCTCCTTGCCCAGCCCTGCCTTCCACCAACACCCCCCATGCCTTACACCCCCCATGCCTTACACCCCCCATGCCTTACACCCCACATGCCTTACACCCCCCATGCATTATGCCCTCCATGCCGTGCTCGTACCGCCATGCAGAGTGGGCACGGGCGGAGGGGCGTGGGCAGTGCTGCAGCAGGCACCACCACATGTACACATGAGTCACGTGGATGCAGATGATCATCTACATGCAATCACAGGTGATTCAAGTGATGGTGACAGTAATGATGTGCATCAGTACCCTCTACAACAGGCACAGCGGAGGTAATTCTGGTAGAAGGAAAATCTGTCGCTGTTGGGAATGTAAATAGCACGAAAACCTGATAAGACCCCTTCAAGATATATTGAGGATTAACTTACAATTTGAAAATATGCTTCTTGCCTTGGGATTGGGCGAGCTGGCTCCTTAGCGAAGAGGCATTTTCCCACAACAGTCCTTGGGAACAGTTTTCTGGAAGATTCGCATGTTGCACGCACAGCACTCAGATAGTCTCCCCTAGCCACCTATACTGACACATACAACTTTCCATACAGCGCTTCGGCACGCGGACGATCCATTACAGCACTTGTATAAGATCTAACATATTATTCTTGCAGGAAGATAGGGAATAAACTGGCGGAGTGAGCTCGGATTGTTCGGGTCGGAGGTATCTGGGATGGCGGAGGCGGGAAGTGCCACCGCGCGATCGCCGGCGGAAGAGGCGGGAGTGGAGTCCGACATGGCGCGACTCGCGGTGGCGGATGCGACAGACGGGAAGCCCGCAGGCGGCGGTGCTGACGTGGACGAGTTGGATGACGTGGAGCAAACAGAGGTGGTTCTGTTCCACCTCAAGGAGTGCTACGTGTACAAGGTGCGCACCGTCACCCATCCTCCTTCCCGCTTCCGCGCATTTCTGATTCGTGCAGTGGCTATGCGCTCAGGCGAGTCGCGAGCATGCGGCACCGCATGGCGTAATGTCAGTACGTCCCACGGGCTGTGCGACGCGCGAAGCGAGGAATCTTGAAATAGTCTGCGCAGCGTGCGGACACGTTCGTAGCCATTTCTGCCCCCTCCGCGCCACAGCGGCCTTGGAGTCACGTCAACAATGCCGCGCGTTCCACGCTGTCAGCTTCCTTGACTCTTCTTGTCACCCTCATCCTCTTTCCCCCCTGTCCCGTCAAGTCACCTTCATTCTCCTTTCCCCTGTCCCGTCTCCCCTCCCTGCCCTCCCGTCCCCTTCCCTCGCGCTCCCCGCGGGTGCTGATCCCCCATTGCCACGAGGCGGCACCAGATTCCCCCACGCAAGACAGCAGCGTCGTACAGGTGCGCGCACCCTCCCTCACTCCCCTCCCTCCCCTCACTCCCACTCCCCGCACCCTCCTCGTTCCCCTCACTCCCAGTCTTCTTACCTCTTCACCATCCTTACTCCCAGTCTTCTTACCTCTTCACCATCCTTACTCCCAGTCTTCTACCTCTTCACCATCCTTACTCCCAGCCCCGTCTCTTCCCTCGCACGTCCCCAACCCTTTATTGCCTAATCATCTGACAAGCAAGTCGCCCCTTCGCACCCTTGCGAGCATTCGCCCTACCACATCCCCCCACCAACGCTTCCCACCTTCTCTCCATCCTTCCTCATCCCTTACCCCCTCACCCCCATTCATCTCCCACCTCACCACCCGTGCAGGGCGGACGAGTGGGACATAAACAGGTGGGCGTGGGAGGGCGCCATCAGCGTGGTGTCACGAGGCGACCACTGCAGCATCCGCCTGCTGGACGCCGCCTCAGGGGACCTCTTCGCGCACAGGCGCCCGTGGCGGCCCAACCACCCGCTGCCCCTGGAGGCCGTCATCGACAGCAGCCGCTTCTTCGTGCTGCGCATCGAAGACTCCTCCCCGCCCCCTCCCTCTACTGCCTCTGCAGCCTCTGCCTCCTCTGCTTCCTCTAGCAAGGCTGGGAAGCCCGCTGCGGCGGCGGCACCGGTGGTGAGGCATGCGTTCATAGGGTTGGGGTTCCGGGAGCGCACGGCGGCGTATGACTTCCAGGCGGCGGTGTACGACCATGTCAAGTACGTGCACAAGCAGCAGGAGGCGCGCCGCATGGGACAGGCGTTTGAGTCGCGGCCTGCTGCGGACTACCGCCTCAAGGAGGGGCAGAAGCTGCACCTCGACATCAAAACGGTGCGCGAGAGATGGGGAGAAGGGTGGGGACAGGGGGAGAAGGGATGGAGGATTGGGCGTGACGGTTGAGGGTGAGGGTGGACGTACAGTGGGGGATGTGTGGTGCAAGGAGGAGGGGTAGTGCAGGGGATTGGAGGGCGGTTGATGGCAGGTCATTGAAAGGAGAAAATGGGGAGGACAGCTTGATAGTCCCTCCCGTGCTGCTCACTTCTGCTTACAACGCACTGCTGTGTGTGCATCCCCTCCCCTTTCCCCTTCCCTCCACCCCCATGGCAGCCGGCACGGGCGAAGCCAAGCACAGCAGGGCTGCCGCTGTCGCCCACCACGCCGGGCAACGTGGCCTTCAAGTCGCCCTCCCTCACAGGCCCTGCCCCTGACGCCTCTGCTCCCATGCGCCAAGCCTCAGGGGACCATGCCGCTGCTGACTCCTCCCCACCGCATGCAACCGCAGCTGCTACCACCGCAGGCGCCTCCCCCCCCATCCTCCCTCCCCCTCCCCCGGCGCGCCTCTCCTCGCCTCCTTCCGCGTCGCCCTCCTCCCCTCCCTCCACGTCCTTCTCTGTGCGCTCCTTCCCCCCAGCAGCCCCCTCGCCCTCCATCGCATGGGCGTTCCAATCCGACGACCCGCCTGCCTCTGTCACCTCCGCGCCCCAGTCCGTCATGCCTGCAACCTCTGGAGGCAGTGAGGGCGCTGGCAGTGCAGCAGCAGCGGGGGAGGACACAGATGACTTTGGGGAGTTCGTTGCTGCGTGAGGTGCAGGTGGGGGGCGAGTAACGCGACTCGTGAGTTGAGAGGTGGAATGGATGATGGGCGAGCCATGAAACCCTGGGACTGGCAGCCCGTGCATGCATGCATGCCTGTGTTGCTGTGCTGCCATGAGGTGGATGGCTTGCAAGCACCACAGGAGAACCTCAGCATAGCCTGGCTGACACCAACTACCGTACTGCCTGCTAGGCTGGTTCACATCCAGGAAGATTCTCCCACCAAGCTTGTACGGGTATTGTAATCCATAATCTGTATGTGACAATTATCGTACAGTGAATCTTAACTGACCCGCTACAAAGATATACAGAGCGCAGCATCTGCATCTCTACTAACCATATACTAACACCAGTGGCCACGATTGCAGCATGCAGCAGCCACAAGCAATCCATGTCTTCGCCCCTACAACTCCGCACCTGCTCGCTACCTCGTACCGTTCTTCTTCCCCCACCCCATCCCCCTTCCCCTTGCCGCTCTTCCCCCCCAGCGCCTCACGGTGCAGGAAAGCAGCACTCATGCGCGCAATGCGCCCGCCCACGCCCTCCTGCGTTGCCTTCCCATCCCCTTCCCCATCGTCATCCGCGCCCCCGTAGCGCACGCGCTTGGTCTCGGCCTGGAAGTCACCAAGCATGTCGCGCACCACCTGGGCTGTGATGCCGCGCACGTAGTAGTCCAGGGGGGCGGGGGCGACAGCGCCAGCTGCACCACCTGCTGCAGATGCACGCGCGACGCCATGCGCGCGCCATGTCCAGGTTTCCTCTCACTTGCACCCTCCCCATTTGTGCCCTCTCCACCTGCGCTCCCCTCACTAGCGCCTGCCTCCCCAGCGGGTCTGCTGTCAAACGCCTCCCGCGCATCCTCAAACTCGCCGCCCTCCGCCCCCCCCCCAGCTTCCCCTTCCGCTGCTCCTGCCTTCCCTGTCCCCTCCGCTGCGCTTTTGCCCTTCTCTGCTGTTTCCGTTCCGCCCTTCCCCTCCGCCTCCCCCACCGTGCGCATGTCCGCGGATCCCGGTACAGGCAGCGGCTCCACGCGCCAGAAGCCCTCGAAGCGCCGCATGAACCCCGGCTGCGCGATCTTGAACGACATCTGCGCGGGGGATGGGGGGAAGGCGAAGGGCGGGAGGCGAAGGAGGGAGAAAAGGGGTGGGAGGGCGCGTGAGACGGCAGCAGACGCGTGAGAGCCCCGGGCAACGTGAAAGACAATGGAATTCCTCTCCGCTTTCCATCTACTCTCCCCGTCGCCCGCCCACGTCTCCTCGCGCATGCAACGCACCGTGCGTTCCGCGCGGTCCTGAGTGACGAGGAGGCGCGTGTCGAAGGAGCCGGAGAAGACGAGGAAGCGCCACGCCGCGGACTGCTCCACCTCCACGAGCTGCCGGTCGCCGTCGTCCTCCAACACCTTGCGATGCTTCACGGCCTTGATGTTCTTGAACACGCGCCGGTTGTACGGGTCGCACAGCGTGTTGTACACCGCGTCGGGCGGCAGCGCCAGGGTTACCTGGCAGTCCAGCTGGCAGAAGGTGCCTTTGGGCGTCGACACCGTCAGCTGCGCCGCCTCGTCGCGCCACTCGGGGTCGTCCCGCCACGCGCGCATCTGCCGCTCCAGCTCCGCGCGCCACAAGATGCGCCCCTCGCGGTACCCGTCCATCTGCACCACCGCCTCCTCCTCCTTCTGCTGCGCCTCCGCCTGTCGCTGCGCCTCCGCGGCGTGGTGCGCCTGCTCCCACTCCCGCTGCCGCGCCAGGCTCTCTTCGTCCATCACCAGCGCCGCCGGCTCCTCGCTCGTCGCGTCTTCGAACTTCTCTTCCACGTCACCGTCGCCTGCCACAGCGTCCGTGCCTTCACCGCCATCGGCGGCGGGAGTTTCGCTAGGTTCGGCGAGAATATTGCTAGGTTCGGCGGGAGTTGCTGTTGGTGCGGCGAGAAATTCGCTAGGTTCGGGGAGAGTTTCGCATGGTTCTGCGGGAGTTTCGCTAGGTTCGGCGGAGTTTTTGTTGGTGCGGCAAGAGTTTCGCTAGGTTCAGCGGGAGTTTCTATTGGTGCGGCGAGAGTTTCGCTAGGTTCGGAGAGAGATTCGGTTGGCGCGGCGGGAGTTTCGGTTGGTGCGGCGGGTGCGGGCAATCCCGCAACTGGTTCTTCCTTCACGTCACCACCCTCCCCCGTCCCCCCTGCCTCCATGGCCGCTCACCGAAAATGTCTCCCGGATCGCAAATTCTGTGGCTTGCGTGGGAGATGGTGCGCGCGTTACGTATCCTGCCCTGCGTGCTGTTAGTTCTGAACGCAAGACACAGCAAGTGCAGATTTGCGAAGTCAAAGACGCGCGTGGATCGCCTTCCTTGAGTGGTGCTTGCTGCCTCAACCACGTGGGACTCACGATGAACCGAAAGCTGTTCTGACTCCCTGGCCCACAACAACTCGAGAGACTGGTGCTAGGGGACGTGAGCTGCTCGCCTTCTGTCGTACCTAGATGGCTATTTTAGGCGATCATAGCGATAGAAGACAAGGGAACCACTGGAAACACAATCTTGCTGCAATTTCAACTCAACATGCAACGCTGGGGAGGGGCATTCCCGCACGGCAGGGGCTGGCGCGCGGATTCAGCTAGAATGGGCACGTTCTTGCGTGACATGCTGCTGACCTGTGGGGTCTTGCTGGCGTGGCGCCACGCGGCCTGACAGGAAGAGGCTGGACTGCCAATCGCAGAGCTTGTTCTTGGAAAGTCAGCAAGTCTCAATTTCGAGCTGGTGTCTAATTGTACAGTTCCTCAAACACAGCAAAGTCCACAACTTCATACAATGAAATCACAAATAACAGTATAGAATTATGTACAGAAGTCCAAGCAGCCCTTGAGGGCAGCGTTTCTTTGTCCACTTGGCAATGCCTATTTGGCACAAAGCTAAAGTGTGAAGTATTTCGGGGAACTCAACACTTGATTCCCCTCCTCACAGGCACCCAGTTGCACTCTTTGCGAGGCAGTGGGCTCTTGAGCACCTCCTTGTGCAGGAAGGCAGCACTTCTGATCGCACGGAAGCCATTGTCCCTCTTCAAGTGCAGCTCGTGGGGCTCCACGCCCCGCCCTCCTCCCACCTCCACTGCTCTCTCAACTACCTCCTGCTGCTTCTCCTGCTCCCCCACTCGCACCGTCTCTTCTACTTCCTCATCCTCACCAGAGCTCTCGCCCTCCTCGTGCGAATCCAGTCTCACAAGAGGCGGAGGGGGTGGAAAGGACTCCTCTGTCTGCAGCTTCTCAGCGGGCGCGGCCATGTCAGGCACGGGTGCGGGGTCGGGGAAGGCAGTGTGGCCGTCCGCGATGGGGAAGGGCGCCTCCCTCAGCCGCCGCGCCTCCGCCATGAAGCTCGTGAGCATGTCTCTCGCCTCGTGCGCCGTCTTGTTGCGCGCCAGCATGTCGAACGGCGGCGGCGGCGGCATGGCGAGCAGAATCACCTGCTGCAGGCGCACGCGCGAGGCCATGCGCATCTGGCAATCCGCGCAGCACTCCTCTGAGTCTGCCTCTTCCGGCAACACGTCACTGGCGTCGAAGAACACGTCACCCTCCCTGTCCATCTCCCCACCTATCCATCCGAACCGCCCATCTCCCTTCGTGTCTTTGCCCTTACCACGCGCAGCTTCGCGCTCCCGGGCGGCCATGGCCTGCACGTGTCGCGAGCACGGCACGGGCAGCTGGTCCACCTGCCACGAGCCCTCGAAGCGTCGCATAAAGCCCGGCCGCGCGATCGCGAACGACATCTGCGGAGCGACGAGAGGGAATACACGATTTTAGCATGCGCTGGGCATGGAATCGAACACTGTACGCGCACAGGGATCAGGAGGATGCACCACTCTCACAAACTAGCTGGAGCTCTCCGCGTGAGCTCACGGATTTGCAGAGAAACGTACCGTGTGTTTCAGTCGATCCTGTCGCACGAAGATTCGCACGTCGCAGGAGCCGGAGAAGATGAGGAATTTTCCGACGGCGGACTGCTCCACCTCCACGAGCTGGCGGTCGCCGTCGTCCTCCAACACGCGGCGGTACGTGACGGCGCGGATGTTCTTGAACACGCGCCGGTTGCACGGGTCGCACAGGATGTTGTACACCGCGTCGGGCGGCAGCGCCATCGTCACCTCCGAGTCGATCTGGCAGAATGCGCCCTTGGGAGCTGACACCTGTGCGCGCGCGGGGGAGAAGGGGGAGGAGACAGTGAGTGAGTGGCGCACGAGCTGACGGGAGAGACGGGGACGATGCGCACATGAGGGGGAGCACCAGAGAAGATTGAGAAGGAGCCTCGCGGGATGAAAGACGTGCGAGCGAGGGGCCACGAGGCGCTGGGAGCGTGGCGGACCCTAACGGTGGGCGTCTCGTCGTGCCAGTGCGGGTCGTCGCGCCACGCCTGCATCTGCGACTTGAGCGTGCGTTGCCACTGCACCGTACCCGTCTTGTACGGCCCCATCTCCACCACCGCCTCCTGCGGCCCTCCTTTCCTTCCATACTCGCACGCTGCTGCCCCCATGAATGCAGATCCGAAAAGAGGCTACGGTAGAGATTAAGATGGTGGTTTGTCTCTTGTTGTATGTTGCTGCACCTCGGAGTCAAGCAGAGCGTTGAATAGGGTACTACCGGAATCCGTGAACTGAGCGGAATAATGTCCTATGACGCGTTATGTAGCGGCTTTTGTGAATATGAAGTAGCGAGTCCAGGATAACTAGGAACATTTGTCAGTGGACGCTTTACAGTTGACATGGATAAAGAAGCTCGAGGTTCAGAGTCAGATTCGCATTCTCTTCGGCGTCCCGTCAGCATCCCACATCCCATTCTCCCCAGTGCAAGTCGCGCCGCCGTAACTCCCCAACCCCAACCTCCCTCCTCCATCGCCTCTCACACTCGCTGTCGACTTGCGTTGACCGCACCGTGCCTCACCCAACCCAACCACAGTGGGAGCTCCATCATCACCGCCCCTACATGTGTCACCAGCTGTTCCATAGTGTGCGCCACTCACCACCCGTTTGACTTTGCGGCTCCCCATTCGCTCAGCTTCGGCGCTTGCTGAGTTGGCTTTTGATGTTGCCGATGTGTCACAGCTGCGGGGTGTCGTGGAAGTGTAGATGTTGGCGGATGAAACACACACCACTCGGGCTCACTTGTCGGGCAGCCTGTGACTCCTGTCAGGAGGAGCGTCAGCGTCAGCTACCACCTCTACGGCCAATCAGCGCCAAGTGTTCAACAAGCAAGTCTTCGACATGGCACTGGCTACCCGTGGCGGAAAGGGATTCTCCCGTGGCAGTTGGCGAAGTCGATGTGCTTTGGTGCTGGCATGACGCCAGCTGCCTCCAAAAAGCTCCAGTGACACCCGGAGGCCAACCGCAAAACGTCACTTGAGATCAACCTCGGAGTCATCCACGTGGGCCTAGAAACTCCTGACCGATGCACCACCACCGCGACTGCAGTGCTTGGAGTTCAGTGAGTTTCGCGAAGCACCTCGCCTCGAATTTATATGCCGCCTCTGACATCAGCGGCCACGACTCGTTATTTAGTTCAGCAAACCAAAATACGGTACCGTCTGCTTTTGCTTTTGGGATGGCGTATAAAACCATACACTGTGCAATTCATAAATGATTTCAAGTAATATTTTGAACATTACGACCTTGTCTTGTATATATTAGCAAAACTTGAAGAAAACAGCAAGGTTCGACTATCAAGAAAACAACATATATACAGATACATTCACAAGTTGTGCATCAAAACAATGTGCATACTCAGTCATCCACTTCCTCTTCTCCTGTCTCGGGCCCTTCAAACATCTCTTCCAGAGGTGGTGGTGGCACTGGCATGCATGCTTGCCCCCTCTCCCCGGACAGGACGCACAGCGCCTCGGCGTCTCTGAGGGCGGCGTCCAGGTCGATGTGGCAGCTGAGGTCGTTGGCGAACTTGAGCAGCGAGTCAAACTCCATCTGCCATGCCATCACACAACACTCCTGCCGTCAACCTAGGCAGATCCAATAATGTCATGCACTACTCATCCCCTCATACCCCATACACCAACAGGCATCCTCTACTTCCCCATCACATAGTCAATCCCCCGTGCCCCCTCTTCTTCCCCCCTTCTACGGCCGCACCTGTTCATCCATGATGCGGCGGCGGTGGCGTTTAAGCACGGCGGCAGCAACGAAGAGGTGCAGGTGCTGCGACAGGTGGCAGCTCCACAGCGCCTCCCACAGCCGGCATGTATCCTCGAACTCAAACTCCCTGCCACCCTCCCGTGCAGCACAGAGCAGGTCAGCACCGAAGCAGAGCAATAACGGCGCACGTGGCACACCAGGGGAACAAGTGGGCAGAGCCGGTGCTCCATGTGGCATGCATGGGAGGCAGCAAGCAGGGCAGGTGGGCATGGCGTACCTGCTGTTGTATCATGACGTGAGGACGCACCTCTTGAAGCGCACGAGGATCCAGCGGAAGCAGAAGAAGAAGTTGAGGCAGTCCACACTCTCCAGGTACTCGTACAGCGGCGGGTCCACCAGCTGCACGAGCTGTGCGCACGCAGGAGGGGGGTAGGGGAGCAGCGAGCAGAGGGGGATGAGGGCCCGCATGCACTGGCAGCCGGAGAATGAACGAATAAGAAGCGGTGGTTGAGGGGGAGGATGAAGGGGGAGAGCCATGCAACCGGTGCTGTGCATGCACCTTTTAGAGAGCACAGAGCTGGGCGTGCATGCACCTGGGAGAGGGCTTGCAGCTGGGCGTGCATGCCGCTCTGGTCGCGGTGGAAGTTGGGCGCCATGGTCTCCATGTACGCTGTGAACGCCCAAAACGCCTCCACCTCGTCCCCCAGCACCATCAGCAGCGGTGCTAACAGGTCTCCCATGCCCTGAGGGGGGAGAGGAGAGGGGAGGCAGGGGGACGGGAGGCAGGGGGACGGGAGGCGGGGAAGAGGCAACGAATTGGTTGGTGGAACATGAGCGAGAAAAAGATGTACACATGCCTGGCATAACTATGCAGCACACGTGGGAGTTGCAAGGGGTTGAGGATGAGGAGAATGGACGGATGACGGCAGCAAGGCACCTGGCATGAGCATGTAAGGCAGCAGGGCAGGCAGTAGCCGACAAGGCAGGTAGCAACACCTGGCAATAGCCGGGGTGGCAAGGCAGCACATGGCAGCACCTGGCAGCACCTGGCAGCACCTGGCAGCACATGGCAGCACATGGCAGCACCTGGCAGCAAATCACGGGTGGTAGCAAATGACCTGGCAGTAGCCGAGGTCGAAGTTGTAGAAGGCGTAGGTGATGAGGATGCGGCGCACCCGCTCCAGATTCTCATTGCCCTCCCCCGCAAAGAAGGGCAGATGCCGGTCTGTGCGCACCTGGTGGGGGGGGCAGGCAGGGTGCAGGGTGCAGGGTGAATGGGACGTGGCAGGAGGAGAGAGGTCAGTTTGGGGAGACAGGTCGGGGCAAGAGGGGAAATCGGTGCATAAAAAGTGGAAGAGTGTGCAACCGACGGAGGAGAAGGTTGAAAGTGGTGTGCCGACCATTTAATGAGCACAACAACTGGAAGCGCAAGTGGGCACGAGATGGAGGGGTGGAGGGGCGTACAACATCCTTGTCGATGCGGCTGCACCTCTCCCTGTACTTGGTGAACCGCCTCGCCTGCTCCTCACTTATACTCTGCACCGCATGGCAGCAGCATGGGGGGAGAGAGAGTGATGGTGCACATAGCGAGGGAACAGAGCGTTGAGAGCGGGAGCAGAGAAGAGAGATGGGGTACTGTGGTTGAACTCCAATGGTCCACATCTTGCAAGCAACGCTGACAAAGGCCACTGTGAGCGCAAGTGCAGCCCACCTGCCACTGCAGCAGTAGCGAGTTGTAGGCGGTGATCTGCCTCTGCCGCAGCTCCTCCCTCTCCGCGTGGCTGGCATCCCACGGCACATAGCCCAGCAAGCGTGGCCACACCTGCTCGCTCCATGGGGGTGCGTGGGGGCCATGGGGGCCACGGGTGAGTGGAATGAGAACGTGTGGCATGGGGCTAATGAGATGGGATGTGTGCACGGCATGCGGACAGTGGAGAGGAGGTGTGCAATGTGCCATGGTACCACCCACCCCATGCATACATGCATGATGCACCCATGGCAGTGGCAAGCATGGCAGTGGGGGCACCTGGGAGCGCAGCTGTGGGTCCATCCCGCTGTAGAAGATGCGCTGCAACACCGCCTCCCTGTTCGCCTCGCTCACCCGCCCCTCACTGTCCTGATACCCCCGCCACTGGTGGGTGGGGCGCGGGGTGTGGGATGGCGAGGAGGGCAGCAAGGGGGGCATGGAAGCAGATGCAGGGACAGGCTCAGAGCACGGGAGGGCGGGACGTTGATGAATTCATACACATGGGAGTGCATAGGGGGATAAGATAAGATGATATGCACGGCAGCACGGCAGCAGGGCAGCAGGGCGCACAACCGACCTCGTCTGCGGAGAGTGGTGGCAGGAGAGGGCGAGGCGGCACGAGGGAGGAGGAATTGTCCTGCAGGGGGCATGGGCACACGAGGAGGCATGCAGCGTTGGATGTCAGGTAAGTACATGTAATGCAGGGCGCACGATTGCAAAGAGCGGGAGGAGAAGCACCGGCAAGGATGCAAGTGGTGTGCAGCATGTGGCATGTGGCATGTGGGCATGCAACGTCACCTGAAAGTCGTCCAACAGTTCAAACTCGCCCACGCCTGTGCTCTCCTCCGTGCTCCCCTGCACACAAGCACACAAGCACACGTGCGCACACACATGGATGCAGTGAGGATGCAGGGAGAAGATGAGCGCATACATGTGCCACAACCTCATCGCACCATGTCATCACACCCGACTCCGCACTCCCCTCTTCCCCCCATCCCTCATTCCCTCCCCCAAGAGCAGGAAGTGCACCTTGATGGTGGTAAGGCGGCTCAGGCTGCCCTCACTCTCGCCCTCCTCCTCTTCCTCCTCCTCCCCCCCCCACCCGCCCCCCCATGCGTCAGCAGCAGGCATGCGCTCCTCCGCATCCCTGCCGCCCAGCAGCCGCCCCTCATAGCCACCCATGCCGCCCATGCCTCCCAGCCCGCCCATGGCCTCCCCCATAGCGGCGGGGGCGGCGGCCAGCATGCCACGCGCCATGCGCGTCACGGCGGAGAACCCCCCCAGCACCTGGGGAACACAGAGGCAGGAGGGCGGGGGGAGAGGGGAGATGGCACAGGCACGGGCGAGGCATGAGCATGCATGCACTGGCCAGGGGTGTTTCTGATCTGAGCAGCACTGGCAGCACAGGCAGCTCGCCCCGCACCTGCATGGAGATGTCCTTTGCCACGTCAGCAGGCTGCTGGCGGTGAGTGCTGTGCCGGTGGTGGTGGTGGTGGTGCTGCTGCTGGTGGGAGAGCGCCCTGGCACGGGCAGCGTCCTGCAGGGCGCGTTCATTGGCAGCCTCCAGGATGCGCAGCATCTCCGCCTCCGATGGCTGCTCCCCGTTTCCCTCTCCCCCGCCCCCCGCCTCCCCTGCTTCCCCCGCCCTCCCCCCTCGCCTCTGCTTGGCCTGCTGCTGCGCCAGGGCATGAGCGGCCTCCAGCATGCGCAGCATCTCTGCTTCACTCGGGTACTGCTGCTCCTCGCCCCCCTCCCCTCCCCCCTCGCTTTCCTTGCCCCCCTCCTCTGCGTCCACTGCCCCGCCATCAGAAGCGGTGGGAGTGACCGCGGTGCTGCGAGGGGCAAGCGACGGGGGCAGCTTGTTCCGCCGCACTGCCTTGGTCCCCTTCCCCTTGCCACCCTCCGCGCCCTCCGCGTCCTCGCCCCCCTCCCCCTCGTCCTCGCTCACACTGCCCAGCGCCCTGCTGGCCCTCAGCGGCCCCACCGCCGACGCACTGCGCTCGCCCAGACGGTACTTCCCCCCCGCCCCCGCCCCTCCCCTCCCTGCTGCACCACCCGCCGCTGCTGCAGCGGCAGGGGGCGCGGAGGGGCGGAACGGCGGGGCGTGGCGGCGGGCGGCGGGGAGCGACATGGAGCGGAAATTGGCGGAGGCGGGCGGTTCGGCGGGGTCGGTGGAGGGCGGATCCCACAGATGCAGGCGCGCTAGACTCCTCTGCTCGCCTCGCATCGCATGATGGGCGGGCGCTCACGTGGGGCAATGGGGGGCACAGATATGGAAAATTATATGAAATGAGTGTGTAGTTGAAAGAGCAGGACAGGGCAAGGCACGGCAGGCATGAATAGAGAAGGAGCATGGAAAGGCGGGGCACCTGCAGGAGGTCGAAGGACTGGTTGACGTTGTAGACGTTGGGGTCATCCAGGGAGCGCTCGAGCATGACGTGCTGCTTCAACACGTGCAGGAACTCCTTCACCCCCCCGTCGTAGAAGTAGAGCGGCGGGAACGCCACCCCTGCACCCCCCACACGCACACACGCACAGGGTGAGGTGAGCAGCAGTGGGGAGATGAGCAGGGTCTACTCATATGAGAGATGCAGGGAGAGGAAGTAGGAGGAATGCGGGCAGGCAAGGAGGGGTTGGAGGGGGACCTGAGGTGAGGACGATGATGATGTAGTGCCAGCCGAAGGGCGGTGTGTGGCGGCGGATGGAGCGCATCTCCGACACAGCCACTGAGCGGATGGAGTACAGCAGACTGCCACGCGCTATGCCTGCTCCATCCAATGGTTGAGGGGGGGGGGAGTGGGAGGGTGGGGGTATTGGGAGGATGTCTCGTGCGATGCACTGAGGGAGCTAGCTCACATGAAATGTGATAAGAGCAGGTCAGGGCGACGGTAGCAGCAGCTGACAACAGGTGAGACGCATGCACGCATGGTGAGATCAACGCGACGTCAGGCGGCAGTGTCACCACGGTGGGTGACTGACCAGCGCAGTGCCGTGCAGAGTGCACGCTGCATGCCATGTGTGCATGAGAGATCAACACGCGAGGCCATGGCCTGTACAATCAACGCATCTACGCACCTTTAGGCGTGCCTGCGGGCGAGGAGGGCTCGTAGGGAATCCAGTTCTGGAAGCAGCGGCAGGGGCGGGTATGTGGGGCAGGGGGTGCATATTGGTGGGATGAGTGGTGTATGGCATGGCAAGTGGCATGGGTGGGTGAGATTCCTAAGAGCGGAAGGGCAAAGAGGGCGAGGAGTGGAGTGATAGAGCGGAGCAAGGGGCGGGCTCCTGGGACGCGCATCCAAGGGGAGGGATGAACCGGCTCACACACGGACATGACAAAAAACGCGAGCAGGCCGAGATGGGCCGAGGCAAGGCGAGGCGGGGAGGCGGAGCGTTTGGGGGCGAGGAGTGGCAAGTAAGGGCGAGGGGAGGAAGCGGGGGGCGTGCGCGTACGAGGAAGACGTCAGCGCCATGCTTGACGAGGCGCAGCTGCCCCGCGATCTTGCGACTGGACGACGCGGACGGGTGCACCGCCACGTTGCCCTTCACGAACAGCACCTCGCGCGCCACCCCCGCCACCCCCGCCTTCTCCTGCGCGCCTCCCCCACCCCCCCCCTCCTGCGCCCGCGTTCCCCCTTCGCCATTCTCCATCCTCTTGCTCCCGCGACCCTCGCGCGCGCCTTGCTTGCCGCGCAACTCCCGCGCTTGGGGTTCTGGCTTGCTGTTCCCGTCGCCATCGCTCCCCTCAGCTGGAGGAGGCTGCGCGGGCGGGGGTCGGCGCAGAGGGGGGGTGGTGGTGGAGCGGATGTAGCGCGCGTTGCCGCTCGGCACGGACGACGACGACGGCAGCGACCGGCCTTGTGCGACCGACTGCGCGCTTGCAGGAGCCTGCGGAAGAAACGCGGGAAACGTCGGGATACACGGTGCGAGTGCGCGCTCAGATTCATTGGAAATACGACTTTAGATTGAAGGACGAAAGACGAACACACGGGAACAAATAAGTGTGTTTAGATTGTGAGCGATGCATTCAGACATGGCGGACGCGTGGGTAGACGACGATGGGCAACGCGCTGCTTGTGTACAATCAGAACGAGCGCGCATGTTGGCGGTCGAAGGTGTTGACAGCGCACACTCCGACGAACAGCGAACGGCATGACCAGCGACAAGTAGAAAGGCCTCGCAACCTGTCTGACCTCGCAACCTGTCTGACCTCGCAACCTCTCTGACCTCGCGAAATTGACTGCGAAGCGACGAGTGACCCCTGGGCGGCGGAGGTACGTCGTCGGTGTTGGCCTCCACGCACACGCTCCTATCGCGAGCCATGCTCTCGCTCGCTCTCACTTCCACTACGTAATTCACAAACTGAAACTACTGTTAACGCTATCAGCAGGGTCTTGAATAATCATGCTATCACAGGCAAGGCTGACAGAGGCAGCAGGTGGGTGTGTTGTTGCGTTGACTGGCAAATCTCGCAACAGCAAATTAGCCTTGGGATTGTACGGCAGGTTGGCGAGGGTAGGATGAGTGCACACGGCATTCCTACGGCGGGCGGTCTGACTGATGACGGGGGGATCGCTGAGTCGCTCGCTGGCCTGTGGCACGCGAAGGATATGTCAGGCAGGCGAGCGTGACGATGGCATTGCGACGAGGAACTGGATGGGATGGGAATGCGATGCGACTGAAATGCGATAGTTTGGGAAATCCGATGGATGTGATGGATGGGATCGCGCGGCTGAGTACCGCCGCTGACGCACAGCTCTGCACTTTCCCCGTCGCTCCGCACGGATGCGGTGTGCTGCGTGCAAAACACGCTTGCGGGACCACGAAATCCGTCCCCATCCCGCCCCACCCCACCCCACCCAACCAGTCGCGGGCCGCTTCCCCATCCCCTTGGGTGGAATGGGTGGGGTGAGGTGGCCTCAGGTCTCGCCAGGGGTTGGAGGCTTTACAGCGCGGTGAGACATGGATGTGAGGAGTCAATGTGGAGTGAGCCAGAAGTTGTTGGTTGTCCGAATTGGTCGAATCTAGTCGATAATACACGACCATTCCATTCAATCCCAGCAAATTCAAAAAACCGAGGCAGCGTCAACGGCGTACAGAAGCATTTGTTGGGCCCATCTGATCACGAAGTGAATTAAGAGCTCTCTAGGTCGGCGCATTGTTTCTATGGTTCCATGTATGATCAGTGTGCCACCCAGGTAGACTATAGTATGCGTGCGTTTTCATAAGACTTCTGTTATCAGTCGTGTTTCTTGTCAGAATATACGTCGTGTCTGTCGGTCATCTCGAGTTATGTAATCGCCTTCAGGCACGCCAGCTGCGGCCTCAACGGCTTCACCGATCACCAATGGCTATTCGATTGCAGTCTTTCCGGCATCTGTCCTCCTTGCTTCTGTTTATAACAGCATCCGCGGCTACAGCCTCTCCTCTCATCTCCCACCAATTCAGTCACCCCTCTCCCACCTCTGCTGATCGTCATTCCACCATCGTCAGCCATTCGAACGAGCAGTACAATGGTCGTCGCAGGCTCGTGCTGCCGTCGCATCTGGCTCGCCCGCACTCCACGGACGACACAGAGCTGCCGTGCGGCGACGCTTGGCAGCACAACTACACCGCCTTCCACACCTCCGCCCGCGCTGCGGCGCGCGATCCGTCGGCGCGGGCGCAGGAGAAGGCGGAGCTGCGGTACCTGACGTTCACGTGCACGCCGGGGCTGTGCGGTGGGATCGGCGACCTGCTGATCGGGCTCGTGTCGTCGTTCCTGCTGTGCGTGCTGCAGGATCGCATCCTCATCGTCGACTACCCCTGGATGCTGCACGCCTTCGAACCGAATCACATCGACTGGCGCCTCGGCGACGACGTCCCCATGGACCCCGCGCGCCCCTTTCCGCCGGGCCCGCGAGACAGGCGCAGGCGCGGGCAGGCAGACCCGAACGAGGTGCAGGAGGGGGAGGTGCTCCGCGTGAATCTGCACAACCGCGACCTGCCGAGCAACGTGACGGAGTTCTTCGAGCGCATGCGCGCCGCGAGGAACATCAGGCTCATGTGGAACCGCGGGCTGCTGGTGCGGCTGTACGAGGAGGACGGTGCCTGGTGGCACGAGCTGCACAGACGAGGGCTTAGACTGCCGTCCGCATTCGGGTGCATTCTGCGATACCTTATCATGTAGGTGCCAATGCCACCCCACGTAGTGTCGCATGCCACGTGGTTGCTGTGCACCACAGGTCACGGCTTGCTGATGAAATGCTGTCACACATGCTCCCCTGCCTCTGCACAAGCTTGTCCACCTTACACTGCAGCAGCATCTCAATGTGCGTCCACCACATTTCTGCCTCGCACCTCTAACCTGGCCCCTCGCCCACCCTCGCCCACCTCCATGCATGGAACTGTCATGGTGGTGGCGGCAGGCCGACGCCAGGGGTGCGGCACATGGTGCGAGAGGGCATAGCGCAGCTGACGTACCCGGGCACGGCGTCCATCTGCATCCACGTGCGCACCAGCGACATCTCCACGTGGGAGCAGCCCAAGGTGGGCGAGAAGGTCAAGCCGCGCAAGGAGAACGTCAAGCGCCTCCTCAAGGGCTCCCAGCGCCTCTTTTCCTGTGCTCAGGTGGGTGGCCACAGCAGTTCTCGTGCTCTCTGCTGCCGTGCTTGGCATCATCCGTGTGTGACTGTGAATTGTATGTGGTGGCGCATGCAGAAGCTGGAGGACTACTGGTATTCGAGTGACGCCCCAGGCATGGCAGTCAAGTGGGTGCTCATGAGCTCGTCGCTTGGACTCAAGCAGGCTGCACAGAGGAAATATGGCAGTAAGGTAAAATGGAAGGCTTGTGGAGAGATGCTGGTTGACTTTGCTACTATGGCACCTCTTGCCCTTTTGCCTTGCTTGACCCCTGTCGCCTGGGTCCTCATGCAGGTCATGACAACCGGTATTCAGCCCCTTCACATTGAGCTTCAAGGCTTCTCAGATGAACAAAGGGCGGAAGCCTTTCAATCCACCGTGGCTGAATGGCTGCTATTCACACATTGCAACCACTTTATCTTCACCGAGTCAGGATTTTCCAAGACTGCTGCGTTGTACTCATTGAGAAGACTATCAGCCCACATGATGGCAAGATGGGCTGATTCATGGAGGGACCACTCGTGGAAAGATAAATGTGATCCTGAGGAGCCCACCAGGATTACGGTGCTGGGGAATACAACCCGTTGGAGCGGGATTTAGCCTGTGCATATGTTCTTACGAAAATTATTGCGTGGTTAACCAAAATGACGATCTCTGTACGATACATTATCATTATCGCGGCCTCTTATATCACGGGCTTCTTGTTTTAGTCCAACGACACGTCAAACTGCCCACCGTCCCAACCAACAAGCTGGACGGCTCGAAAAAACAGGCAGATTGGATTTGTGCCCCTCGGACTTGGGGATATATTTTTTTGTATAGAACGCACGCAACTGCACAGCAATTCGGCTACGAAACATGGATTACAGTTCGAGCGAGTGATAAATTATTGGTCTCCTTGAAAGAATCGATGATGTGGCTCCGCACGATCCCTCTGCAGGACATCCCGCCCCGTGCCATCACCCGTCCTCCGCCCTATCACCTCACCCCGTCGTGGAAGCGGAGCTTGCTGGCACCGCGGATGCCCTTCCCCCCCCCTCCCGCGGTCGCGGGAGAGCTGGCAGCAGACAAGCATGCGCAGACGAATGCAATCAAGGGAGGAGAGGTAATATTTAGGTCGACTGGCCTCCACAATTGCTCCGAAGAACCTAATTTAGCCTTACTGCCTCCTGTGAGGTCAGCCGCCATGGCCGATGTGAGTTCAGACAGTTTTTTTTTCTTTTAATTGACCGCATGTCAGTGTAACGTGGCTACCGCGGCAGGCATTTGTACCGTGTTCACATTCTGGCTCACGCAGCGCTGGTTTGTTTCTGTTGTGTGTGCATTTGTTGTCGTGGGTCGACGCCGCTGGCCAAACTAAGAAACGATCGCCAGCATTGCGCGTGCTCGCGACACCAAGTCAAGGTACGCTGCTGGCATTACTGGCGTCCTTGCTGTCGAGGGCGTTTCGTGTTTCCTAAAAAGGTTTAGTGGCGAGCTTTGCGAAGCGGCTTCTATTGTGCTCCTGTCGGTTTTCACCCCTTTTTGCGGTGTGCAGACCGGTTCACCGATTTGTACGACCTCGGGCAGAAGCTGGGGTCGGGGCAGTTTGGGACGACGTACGTGTGTCGCGAGCGCTCGACGGGCAACAAGTACGCGTGCAAGTCGATTCCCAAGAGCAAGCTGCTCACGGAGAATGACGTTGAGGACGTGCGACGCGAGGTTGCCATTCTCTACCACGTGCAGGTGCGCGTTGGCCCCGCTGTGCCACGTGCAGGCGCGAACTCCCATAGTTGCGGAACGCAGCGCCGGATGCCTTGCTGCAGTGTCGGCAATGCTGCTGTCGGCAATGCTCCGTTGCCGGCAATGCGGGGCTGCTGGCAATGCTGCGCTGCTGGCAATGCTGCGCTCTCGGCATTGCCGCGCCGTTGCCATTGCTGCGCTGCCGGATTCCTGCTGCGCGCGCTAGTACACAGCCATGTCGCGCTCGCATCTGCCGCGCAAGCGTCCACCGCTGACCGCGTTGCATCCTCGCCGTGGCCTGACTGCTATCCGCGTGCGTGCGTGCGTGCGTGCGTGCGTGCGTGTGTGGGAGTGCAGGGGCAGCCGAACATCGTGAACATGAAGGGCGCGTACGAGGATCGCGACTACGTGCACATCGTCATGGAGCTCTGCACGGGCGGCGAGCTCTACGACACCATCATCGAACGCATCGAGGCGCGCGGCGTCCCCTACTCGTGCGTCCGCCTTGCACCCCGCCGCGAGCCCCTCGGCCTTCCACCTGTTCCCCGATCCCCCTCGCACGCCTCGTTTCAAATGCTCGCCTCCGCGCATGCCCCCCGTTCCTCTCGACTTCCACTCTCAATTCTTCTACCTCTCCTTTCGTTTCCCCCCTCCGCCCTCAACGCTCTCCCCCCATTCCTTTCTCTCCCTTTCCCCCTTTCCCTCCACCTCCCCCGCACAGCGAGCACGACGCGGCGGAGATGGCGCGCGTGATAGTGCGCGTGGTGGAGCGGTGCCACGCGCTGGGCATCGTGCACCGCGACCTCAAGCCGGAGAACTTCCTGCTGTCGTCGCGCGACCCCGACACGGCGGAGCTAAAGGCGACGGACTTCGGGCTGTCGTGCTTCTACAAGGGCGAGGGCATGGCGCGCCACTGCGGCTCGCCCATGTACATGGCGCCCGAGGTCGTGCGCTGGCGCTCCGCCACGCAGCTCATGGTGAAGCGCCCCGCCAAGTACGGCCCCGAGGTGGACATCTGGAGCGCGGGCGTCATCATCTACGCGCTGCTCTGCGGCTTCCCGCCCTTCTACCACAGTACGCGCCCTTCTACCACAGTACGTGCCTTCGTACCACAGTGACATGGCTGGCCACTGAGGTCGATGACGTGACTTGTGTAATCAACTGCTGCTGTTCCTCCCTCCACTTCTCCGCGCCTTTCTGGCCACCAGTTCCCAACCTTCCCCGCACCAACCACCCAACCAACCCCCCCCCCTCCTCCCCTTTCCCCTCTCCCCCCCTCCCTCCCCCTCCCTTCTCCCCAATTCCTGCCCCGCCTACCCCCCTGCAACGGTGTGCGCGCAGGCAGCCATTCGACGAAGGAGATATTCAAGGCGGTGCTGCGCGCGAACCCGTCCTTCTCCATCCCGCCGTGGCCGTCCATCTCCGACCAGGCCAAGGACCTCCTGCGCCAAATGCTGCACCCCGACCCCGCCAAGCGCCCCTCCGCGCACGAAGTGCTCTGTCAGTCCCGCTCCCCGCATGCTCCGCCATCCCTTTTCCCCATGTTACTCTCTCATTCCCCCACCGTGTCCCATGCACGACCTCTCCCCATTCATGAAACCCCGTTCCTCCCCCCTCCCCCCCCTAATCAGCAGCTCCCCAACCCCAGCCCACTTAACCCCCTTCTTCCCGCCCCCTCCCCCCCTCCCGCCCGCATACGTGCGCGCGTAATGCAGGCCACCCGTGGCTGGCGGAGGCGGGCGTGGCGCAGACGGAGCCGCTGCCGCCCGTGGTGCTGACGCGGCTGAAGCAGTTCACATCGATGGTGAAGATGAAGCGCATGGCCATGAAGGTATGGTGAAGATGAAGCGCATGGCCATGAAGGTATGCCTTTTGACGAACGAGGGGGAGCGGGGAACAGTCACTCAACACGCCGAAGCAAGCAAGAGCTGTGCACAACGTGAATGCAACGAGAGGGAACGAAGTGTAGGGAAATGTGTGGGGCAGGCAGTTTTGATGTTGCTGCCACACCACAGACGAGCATGAAACATGAGGTGTCACGCGAATCACTCATGCACCCTCCATGCCTCGTCACTCTCCCGTCTCACTCTCCCGTCCCATCACCACCCATTCACGTCCCACCTTGCTCCGCAGCACCTTACCCCCTCTCCCGCTTCCCCTTCCCGTCCACCCCTCGCCCCAATCCCGCAACCCGCACACCACTGGCACCCCCACCGCTCCCCCCCTCTACACATGATGTGGCGGGGCCGGCCGGCGGTTGGTGCAGGTGATAGCGGAGGGGCTGAAGGAGGAGGAGATCCGCGGGCTGCGCGAGCTGTTTGAGGCGATGGACACGGACGGCAGCGGCACCATCACCATGACCGAGCTGCGTGATGGGCTCAAGAAGTACGGCGCCAACCTCAGTGACGCTGAGATCAGCAGAATCATGGAGGAGGTGCGATGGGGGGAATTGTGGAGGAGGTGAGATGAGCGGAATTGTGGAAAGTGTAAGAGGAGGAGAATCATGCAGGCGGTGAGGCAAGATGAAGCATGGAGAACGGGGAGTGCATTGGCAGGTGGATGGAGGGCAAGGTGGGAAACGGGCATGGGCAGGGCGCAGGTGGGGCACGTCAATGTGGTGCTTAGCAGACTACGTTACTCATTCTATGTGGCATTCTGTTGTGGTGGCATGCTGGGTGCATGGTGGCCATGTGATGGCATGGTGGGCATAAAAATGGCATGTGATGATGTGGTCGACATGTGACTTGTATTTCATGGCATATGACGGCATGCTGTCATGGATGGCATTGTGGGCATATGATGGCATGGCATGCCCCTTGCAGACGGACATAGACCAGAGTGGGGAGATAGAGTACGGGGAGTTCCTGGCGGCGACGCTGAATTTGAGCAAGATAGACAAGCAGGAGAACCTGCTCAAGGCGTTTGCCTTCTTTGACACGGATGGCAGCGGCACCATCACGCTGGACGAGCTGCAGAAGGCGTGTGAGCAGCTCAAGATGTCCACCGCCGAGGTCGAGGCCATGATGCGCGAGGTCGACGAAAACAAGGTCTGTGCGCTGCTGGGAGGGGGGGGGCGGTGGGGAGAGGGGGTGGACGAGGGGGGGGGATGGTTCGGGGATTGGGGGGTTAGGGGCTGGGCGCAAGTCAGTCTCACGGGGTTAGTGTGTACGCTTGCTGTGTATTTTTTTTTCCACATGCAATCTGGTGCCATCATGCTTATTGCCTAATGGTTCAAATTCTATGAGTGCAGGATGGGACGATTGACTACCAGGAGTTTGTGGCGATGATGAGGAAGACACAGACAGGAGGCCTCACACGCCGCGACATCATGGATGGCAACTACGGCCTCACAGATAAAGAGTTTGGAAGCGAATCTTTCCGTTTCTTGCTCAGTTGATAGCTGTGCAGACACTTGTCATTCCCTAAGGTCGAATTCAACTTAATCTAGGAATTGAGTCAGCTATTAGTTCTTGTAACTTTACGTGAATTGCCCTTAGAGCTGTCCTGTGTGTACGAAATTCTAACCCGCAATCTTCAAGATCGTTTTAGCGCATCGCCTTTCGATGAAATGTACGTCTCGAACTCTGGTACATTGTTGCGGAGATGCCACTGCCATTGTCGACACGTCGGCTAATACCGACTACGTGGCAGTCCCTTGGAATTAGCCCCAAGCGCCTGGTTCTTGGGAATTGTGGGCCTGAATTCGAATTGCAGCGCCTGAAAAGATGCGCGCTCCTAGATTTCCCCGTCCTCCTTGCCTTCTCCCTCCCCGCCCTCGCTCCCGCCTTGCGCCCTCGACTCCGCCAACACAGGTGCGCCCCACACTGCAGCCACCTCTCGACCACAATTCCTCAGAATCGAACCCTCCGCCGCACCACTGCGTGTCCAGCAAAGACAGACTGGCAACTGCAGCCGCAGAATATTCCTTTCAGAATTGAGTTGAGTTGATCACAACAGGCGCAGCGAGTTGAGGTGAGGCATGGCGCACAGGCAGGAATAGGCTTGGAGAGCGGACCACCAGGGCGCTCAGAGCGGCCGCCTCCATCGCGCCATTGTCGCTGCATCGCGCCATTGCAAGCCATGGCTGCTCTACACCCGAGCGCAGTCGTCCAGCCAAGTACGGTTCGTGTCATGCTTCTGCCCAATACCCGTCGCTTGCGCCCAATTCGCTTTCAAAATCGGTTCTATCATGTCACAGATGCATGACTGTCGCATGAGCGTTGAGTCACCGGCATCTATGGCGTCGTGGGGCTGTAATGCGTCCCTCTCCCCCCTCTCTCCCCGCCATTGTCTCAGCGCGTCTCGCTATCGGCCACTCGTCCCACCGCACCTCCGCGCGTCGCATCGATTGCAATCCCGCATTCGCGCCATGTGCCAGCCACGCGCCCTTCTCCGCCGTTGCGCCATCAGCAATCAGGACCCGCCCGCTCCGCGCCAATCAGAACAGTCGACGACCACATTCGAGGCGGCTGATCGTTCGTGCGACAGAAAGCGACGAGGGCGCAATTGCACGCCGGGTGGAGGAAACGCAAGGCGGGGAGGCGAGCAGCAGGGGCGCTGGTGATGGCGCAACGGGGGAAACCGCGGGTGATAGTGGCGGAAATGGTGCTCTTTCGGCGGGGACGGGTGTGAATTCCGCGGATGCGCTGGTCGTCGCGGATAGTGCGCGAGGCGAGTCAGCATCGTCGGTATCGGGGGAAGAGGCAGCGGCGGCGTCGTCCCCCGGGTGGTGGAGCGGCGTGTGGGGCGCGGGGGGCTGGCAGAAGCGGTGGAGCATCGTGGTGCTGTGCTTCTTCGCCTTCCTGCTCTGTAACATGGACCGCGTGAGTCGCCTTCCTGCTCTGTAACATGGACCGCGTGAGTCGCCTTCCTGCTCTGTAACATGGACCGCGTGAGTCGCCTTCCTGCTCTGTAACATGGACCGCATGAGTCCATGGCGGGGGGGGGGAGAGAATGGGACACATGGAATGCAACATGGACCACGTGCCATGAATGGGGAGGGGAGGACGATGCAACATGGACCGCGTGAGTCACGGGGAAGGGCGGGAATGCAACATGCAGTGCGCGAATCAAGGGGGAACGGGAGTGCAGCGTGCTGGGCAGGTCGTTGCACAGAATTGATGAGGCGCTGTTGGCCTCGTGGCCGTGCCGCCATGCACGCATGCCCGTGCTGCTGCGCCTCGCGTACTGCTCGTGCACATCCCCCCCCCCCAATGCGCGCGGGCACCTGCTGTGCAAACTGTCCCCCCCTTGCTGAACGGTTCTCCCCCTCCTCTGTTGGGGCTGGTGCGGCGCGCAGGTGAACATGAGCATAGCGGTGCTGCCCATGGCGGAGCAGTTCCAGTGGTCGCCCGCCACCGTGGGGCTCGTGCAGTCCTCCTTCTTCTGGGGCTACCTCCTCACGCAGGTAGGTGGGGCTACCTCCTCACGCAGGTAGGTGGGGCTACCTTCTCACTCAGGTGGGTGCCTCCTCACTCAGGTACGTGCCTCCTCACTCAGGTACGTGCCTCCTCACTCAGGTACGTGCCTCCTCACTTAGGCACATGCCTCTCGCCCTACCCTCCTCACGCACGCATGTGCCCCTCACGCAGGTACCTCACTCGTGTGTGTGCGCTGCACTCACGACGCACACACTGCCGTGCTCATATCTCAACGCTTGTTCTGCTTGCGCAGTTGCCGCGCCGCTATGCCGTCTCACCACTCTCTATGCCCTTCCCCCTCTCCCCCTCCCATCCCTCTTTCACCCCATTCCCTTCTCTCTCTCTCAACCCCCTCCCCTCCCGCCCACACGCCCGTCCCCCGGGAGCATGGCAGGTGGCGGGGGGGGTGTGGGCGGACACGATAGGCGGCAAGCAGGTGTTGGGATTCGGGGTGGTGTGGTGGTCGCTCGCCACCGTCCTCACGCCCATCGCCGCCTCCCTCGGCCTGCCCGCACTGCTCTTTGCGCGCGCCTGCATGGGCGTCGGCGAGGTCAGTCCGCCCCACTCCCCCCGTAAACCCGTCCGTGCCCCCTCGCCGCTGCTGCTGCTCACGCCACTGCAATTCCCTGCGTCCCTCTGCCAACCGCCCTGTCCGCCTCCACGCCTCCCCGCGCCTCAGCCGCGCTCCTATCACCCCTTCTCCCCCTGTCTCAACCTTCCCGCAACCTTCCCCCAACCCTCCCCCTTTCCCACCCGTGCGCTACCCTCTCCCTCGTGCCTTGGCTGGGTGGGGAGGGCAGGGAGTGGCAATGCCAGCGATGAACAATCTGCTGTCCAAGTGGGTGCCGGTGGGCGAGCGCAGTCGCTCCCTGGCGCTCGTGTACAGCGGCATGTACCTGGGCAGTGTGGCGGGGCTGTCGCTGTCGCCCGCCATCATCCACGCCTTCGCCTGGCCCTCCGTCTTCTACTCCTTCGGCTCCCTCGGCCTCGTCTGGTTCGCCTGCTGGCAGATCAAGGTACGCCACATGCTGCTGGCAGATCAAGGTACGCCACATGCTGCTGGCAGATCAAGGTACGCCACATGCTGCTGGCAGATCAAGGTACGCCACATGCTGCTGGCAGATCAAGGTACGCCACATGCTGCTGGCAGATCAAGGTACGCCACATGCTGCTGGCAGATCAAGGTACGCCACATGCTGCTTCCCCGCTCCATGCACTGCAAACCTCCCGGTTCAGTAGAAAACAAATAAACAACAAAAAAAAACTGAACACCGAGCCCTTGGCTTGGCTGCACCCCCATCTGTAGCCCAACCACCTCCTGCCCTCACTCCCCCTTCCCCTCCCCCTCCCCCTCCCCCTCCACCTCCCCCCTCAGGCGTTCAGCTCGCCCGCGGAGGACCCCAGTGTGTCACCCGCAGAGAGGGCGCTCATAGCAGCCGGGGGCGCACAGAAGGGGCAGGGCGCGGGCAAGGCGCATGAGGGGGGAGGGGGCCCGCACCTGGAGGGCAGTGAGCCGCTGCGGCTGTCGACGATCCCGTGGCGGCTGCTGCTGAGCAAGGCGCCCGTGTGGGCCATCATCATCTGCCACTTCTGCCACAACTGGGGCGTCTTCATCCTCCTCACCTGGATGCCCACCTACTACCATGATGTGAGGCTTGTGAGGCATACGCATGCCCACCTACTACCATGGTGTGAGGCATACGCATGCCCACCTACTACCATGGTGTGAGGCATACGCATGCCCACCTACTACCATGGTGTGAGGCATACGCATGCCCACCTACTACCATGGTGTGGGGCATACGCATCCCCACCTACTACCATGGTGTGGGGCATACGCATCCCCACCTACTACCATGGTGTGAGGCATACGCATGCCCACCTACTACCATGGTGTGAGGCATACGCATGCCCACCTACTACCATGGTGTGGGGCATACGCATGCCCACCTACTACCATGGTGTGGGGCATACGCATCCCCACCTACTACCATGGTGTGAGGCATACGCATGCCCACCTCCTATCATGATGTGAGGCATAGGCATGCCCACCGCCTACCAAGATGTGAGTCGTGCCATGCCCACCTGCTATTACAATGCGAGTCATGCTCACCTGATATGTGCCACGGCCCTCCCACCCACTCAGTCACCCGCCTACAAGCCTCTAATCTCCTAATCCCTGCATGTCACCACCTCCCCTGCATGGCATGCACGCGGCACATGGGCACATGGACCTGGGAATGGCAGGTGTTGGGGTTCAACCTGACAGAGTCGGGGCTGTTTGCAGTGCTGCCGTGGCTCACCATGGCCATCGCCTCCAACGTCGGTGGATGGATCGCCGACACCCTCATCGCCAGGGGCCTCTCCGTCACCCTCGTGCGCAAGGTGGGCCTCTCCGTCACCCTCGTGCACCCCCCTCCCGCATTCTCTCCTCTCAGGTCCGACCTTTTTTCCAATATGCCTCTTCACTAAACCTGCTCCTCTTGCGTCCTTCGTACCCCATTGTGCCTGCTGCCCGACCACCCGCCATGCCCTGCCACAGGTGATGCAGAGCATCGGCTTCCTGGGACCGGCCATCTGCCTCTCACTGCTCTCCACTGTCAAGTCGCCTGTGGCTGCCATCGCCCTGCTCATGCTCTCCCAGGTACCACCCCCCCACCCCTCCACCCCTCCACACGCCACTACTTGCTGCTGCCTCTCACCATTCCTCACTCACTTGCTATTCTTGCATCTGTCTTGGATTCTCCCATGCCCCCTGCATCCATGCCGCTGTGCCTCATGCCCCATGCCCCATGCCTCATGCCCCATGCCCCATGCCCCATGCCTCATGCCCCATGCCCCATGCCCCATGCCCCATGCCTCATGCCCCATGCCCCATGCCTCATGCCCCATGCCCCATGCCTCATGCCCCATGCCCCATGCCCCATGCCCCATGCCCCATGCCCCATGCCTCATGCCCCATGCCTCATGCCCCATGCCCCATGCCTCATGCCCCATGCCCCATGCCTCATGCCCCATGCCTCATGCCCCCTGCACCTCCCCCCCCCAGGGCACGGACGCCTTTTCCCAGTCGGGGCTCTACTCCAACCATCAGGACATCGGCCCGCGCTACGCGGTCAGTGCCTCCCCACTGCCACGCGCTCGCTGCCTGCCTCTGTGATCTTGCACCTGCCGTTCTCACTTGCCTCGTCCCTCACCCACCCCGTTCTTCCCCTCTGTCTGGGCCCGCATCACTTGCCTCACCATCCCCTTCTCTCGACCGTGCATGCTCGCTGTGCCTCAGGGCATTCTGCTGGGGCTGTCCAACAGTGCTGGTGTGCTGGCGGGGGTCTTCGGCACGTACGTCACGGGGCAGATCCTTCAAAACGGTACGTCACAGACTCATGGGACGATCCCTTGAACAGCCTTGGGAGCTGCAAGGCCCTGCCGTACTGCCTCCCTTGTAGAGCCGTCTGAAAAGCACCACACCCCCCCTCCCCCTACTCCTCTCTCCCCCTCGTGTGCTGGGTGGTGGCAGGGTCGTGGGACGAGGTGTTCACGGTGGCGGTGGCGCTGTACCTGGTGGGCACCGTTGTGTGGAACGTCTTCGCCACCGGGGAGAGGGTCTTTGACTGACCCGCTGCCTGCCCCTCACCTTCTCTGCTTGCCTGTGCAAGCTTGGGGTAGTAGTATGCAATGTAAATCACATTGTTTCAGAGCTACAACATATCATTGGATCCCTCTGAAGAATGTTCACGCGGTTCTCCCGTATCCAAAATACATCTGGTACTGAAGGTTAAAAACATAGGTATGAATGAAGAGTGCATACCGTAGCTCACTAGTCGACAAAGCACTACAGGACTAGAGAACAATAAAGCTCGACAACACTGTAGTGTAGGTCAATGTGTACTTGCAAATGAGAATATTCATCAAATGCAGCGAGCCACAATGGGGTAGTCACAAGTTACCGTAATGATGATTCCGGATCATTGCAAAAGTGGCCATCAATGTTATGAGAGCACATGCAGGAACTCAGAGTGCCAGAAATGCCACAGTCACAACAGCAGCCATGAGAATGGTGTCCTTAGTCAGACAATATTGACCTGCCACACACAGCAACGATCAGAAACAGTGAGAGCGAATAAAGAGAATGTGGCACGTCTGATGCCACATGCAGAGACCGAGCACCCTCCCAGCCCCCCTCTCACCTGCACCAGCGCTGCCAGGAGTGTCGTTGCTCCCCGGCACTCGCACGGGGGCGGGAGGAGCCGTTGTGCCCTCATCACTGCCAGGAGGCGGAGGGCTGTTATCGCTGCCAGGAGGAGCAGCACTCGGAGTCGGCGCCGAACCGATCATTGGTTCCGAGGCCGGAGCAGAGGCTGGGGCCGACCCTGGCGCTGCAGCAGGCTCGGATGCTGGCGCTGGGGCAGGGGCGGGACCAGAAGGGGTGGCGGCAGCAGCAGGGACAGGAGCAGGACCCGAGGAGGAGGAGGGGGCAGGGGTGGGGGCGGCGGAAGGCGCTGAAGCTGGGGAGACCGAGGAACTGGGCGCGGCAGAGGGAGTCGGCGCGAGTGTGGGCGCGGACGCAGGGGCAGTGGCGGTGGGTGCCGGAGCCGGGGAAGGGACTGGCGCGGACGGCTGTTGCGATAGAGTTGGTGGCGCGCCCAGAGCGAGCAGGAGCACCAGGAAGACGGCGGGGAGTGCGGAACCCATCTCGGCTCAGTGGGGCGACGAGGAGGTGAGCCTCAGGAGTTGCGCTGAGTATGAATAAGAATACCGCTGAAAGATGGCGAGGGAAGGCACGGATTTAAGCCACGCCGTTAACCCTCGTCTAGGTCGCGCCGATCCCTTTGGCCCAGCAGCACCGCGCTCACCGTCAACCTCATTTTCGCGACAAGTCACACCATGGCGGCGGTCACATCTTCTGATGCTGACTGCGGAGGCCGAATCGCCCCCGTATGACTCCTCGTCGACCATTGCAAGCGACGTCGCAACGACTTGAAAGTGCAGGACAAGAGACCCGCAGAACAAATGCATGCCGTCAGCTAGGCGTATAGCGTGCCTTGAGTCAGAAGACATTTGTGACGTGATGTGGGACCCGTAAAAGAAATGCGTGCCGTCACGACTGACGGGAGAATCGAGGAGCAGAGGGTGGTACTGTACTAGAGGAAAGCGGTGGAGCAAGGACAGGACAGGTCGCAGGAGAACAGGGCTCCAAGCTCCAGGCTCCAGCATTCTGGGCTGCAACTCTCTGTGTCTACACCCATGCTTGGAGAGTAAAGTAGGCTGTATGAGGACACTGGCATTACATGGTTTTCCCCCTGTAGTAAGGCCTTTTGTCAATAACGTTGCATTACCTGGCAACTATTACATGATATCCGGGCTTTCCAATTATCAAAACATTACTCAGTACAATAGCTGATAAACTTCAGTACAACACAAGCATGTTCAAATCTGGAACGTATATCAATATCATGTCATGTTACACCTTCTGCACATATAGCACAACCACCAATATTATGTGTCAATGGGCGTGTGTGACACCAGAACATCTTCACCTCTGCACAGAACTGCACCTCCCCAAACCTTTGTACCCCTGCAACTTCACAAGGCACCCTTGCCCTTCATCAGCCATGCAACAGCAGGCATGGCTTCAGGCGGCTGCCATGCAGTGGCTTGCAGGCATCAGCACACATGTGCATTCACGCGGGCACGGTACATCTCCAGCACCTCCTCATTCTGTGCTCCATCCGTCTCCACCACAGCGGACGCCAGCAGCTTGTTGCTGCCCGCGGGCACAAAGAAGATGTCCCCCACGTGCACACCCTGCACGTATGACGGCGCCGCCGCCACCGCTGCCGCGCACCCATGCACCTTGGTCAGCCCGTTGGCCGGGGCCACTGAGATGGCTCCAGATCCGCGAAACACCAGCAGAATGGACGGCCCAGATATCTCTGGCAGGGCTGCCGTCTGCCCGAGGGGCACAGAGATCTTTTCGACCTCAAACTCCTCGAAGGGCGGCGTGTAGAGTGTGACGTGGGGGGTGACGCGGTCACCGTTGAGCAGGTGGGGGCGGCCCTGGTGGTAGGTGAGCATGGAGGTGAGCGTGTCTGTGTCGCGGTACTTGGGAGTGAGGCCCGCGCGCACCACGTTGTCAGACGCCGCCATGCACTCGATGCACTCGCCTGCCAGGTACGCGTGCGGCTCGTTGGCGGCGAGGCAGATGGCCTGGCCGGGCAGCAGCGTGACGTGGTTGAGGAAGAAGGCGGAGAGCACGCCCACGTCGCCCGGGTACTGCTGCTCCAGCCGCTGCACCAGCTGCTCCTTGTCCGACAGCTCGCGCTCCTGCATGCACCCATGGGCGGCCACAAAGGTCAGCCACATACATGGTTAGTGCATGGTGCATGCGCGATTGGTGGGACAGGTGGAGTGCATGCTGCATGGCACTGGGACCAGTGATCAAACAGGAAATGCCATTCCCAGTTGCATGACATGGCATGATACGGCATGTATCACAAGCGAAGGGCACATGCGAATCCTGGATGCAACGGTGACCATGGCAGCATGACATGGACACTTCGACTACGCGCCTGATACAACCACGTCATGACGCACGCACCTTGGATTCGGCCTGCAGCCGCGCCACAAGGCTCGAAAGGTGCTTCTCAATCACGGCGCCGTCTTGCGTCATCAGCGCTCTGAACGCGTCCTTGAACGCCCTTCGCTCCGCACACTCCTGAGCTTCATGAGCGCCGTTGACGCCGTTGACTCCGTTGACGCCGTTGACCCCATTGACGCCGTTGACACCATTCTTGCTGGCTCTCAGCACGCTGTCCGCCGTGTGTTCGCCGATGGCCATTCGCAGTTCCGGCAACGACTGGATGCTTTCGCGGAGTTCCTGAGATAGACAACAGCGGGGCCGTAATTAATTAGGCCAGGCTACAAGAGAGAGACAAACGTGGTCGCGAAACGAAGTGCTGCACAGCGCCATTGGCTGCACAACGCAACCTCGCATACCAACCACGCGCACTCGCTTACTTACCAGGCGCACCTATCTCGCATACTAGCCACGCGCATCAACCTCGCATGCTAGCCACGCGCACCAATCTGACATACTAGCCACGCGCACCGACCTCGCATACTAGCCACGCGCACCGACCTCGCATACTAGCCACGCGCACCGACCTCGCATACTAGCCACGCGCACCGACCTCGCATACTAGCCACGCGCACCGACCTCGCATACTAGCCACGCGCACCGACCTCGCAAACCCACTTCTTAGATTGCCCTCCTCTCTATCCTTCCCTCGCGCCCTTCCCGCGCGCCCTCCCGCGACCCTCACCCGCGAGGTGACGAAGCCGCAGAGCGCCTCGAAGTTGGTGACGGCGAGCGCCATCTCAGGCTTGTGGTTGGCGTCCTTGTAGTTCTTCGGCTGCGTCGCGTGCAGCCGCTCCGCCAGCCGCTTGTCTGGGTGCGCCTGGATCGACAGCGCCTTCGCCACGCTCAGTACCTGCCGGGAAAGCACGATGCCACATCAGCATGCACTCGGTTGCTGCAGCGTGTTGCGGTGAGGTATACTGAGTGACGGGCAAGCGATATGTTTCTTCACATGCATGATGCAGCCTCCCTTATTAAAAATACCTAACGCGTAATATTGCAGTAACATATTAAGGGAGAGGCGGAAAGATAGAATGGCAGCCGCCAGCTTCCACACGACAATTTTAGGGTTTCAACGATCACATCCTGATTAATTATAGAAAGGCACAAACCCGATCCACACATCATGCAGCGACGTACCTTGAAGAGGAACGGCAGCTGGCCGGGCCACTTGTGCTGCACTGTGGCGCCCAGGGCCTCGGGGTGTGCGTCGAGCCACTCTTGCAACAGCTGCGGCTCGCCCGCTGCGACGTCGGCCTTGACGAGAGCGGGGCACGAGGCATCGACCTCATCCGATTGCGCGGACGGCAGCACAAGCGACGGCCCGCTGGGGTGCGTGCCCATCCAGAGCTCGGCGTACGGCACGTCTTCCTTAGCCGCCTCCGCGCTGCCGCTCGTGCCCAGCGCGTAAAGCCGACCCACCGTGCTCCCACTGCCCTTGATGCCCCAATCATACGTCTGCGCCACGCAGCGCATTCGAAGAATCGGCGGGTAGCTGCCAGCCATTGCTTTAGTAGTCGATCTGGTCGTGGATTACCAAGTATGTGCTAGGAAAGACAGGGGCAACTGAACTCCAAAGCCAAAATGTAGAGAGGCTGACAAGACGTATAAACGGCGTGACAATATGTACAAAGGTACAAGGTGCGTCTCGCGACAATCCCCAAAACGCCTAGGACAATGTGGAAGCTTAAAAAAAACTGAACCAAGGATCCATGAAATAGTTCTGGGAGTTACAGAAGCCAGACTGGAAGCGGGGATCGCGCGCGCCAAGGTTGGGGGGAGGGAGTGAAGAGGAGTGGGGGAGAACCCACTCCCTAGACGGAGTTCGTGAATGCGGGAGACGGGGAAACGGGGAGTGGGCGGAGGGGAACAGCGCCCAACGGGACAGAAGCGTGGGCAGGAGAGGATGTCGTTTCGCACCACAAAGTGGTGTGCGCATCTGCGGGCAGTCGCATGCATCTCAGGTGGGGGAGGATCTCGAAGGGGTCAACGACACGACCACACAGAGGTCTGGGAAGCCGTGGCGAAGAGCATGCCTGGAAAATACTGGCCATTTGCGGCATCCCACGTGGAATAAGTCACTGTCTGTGCCTGCGGAGCGGTGGTCAGTGGAGAGAACGGTAGGACCTGGCACCTGCGGCTCGAAACTCCCACACAGTTCTCGTGGGAACATCTGGAGTTGCAGACGCCCACCAACTCCGAAAACGTTGGCGCGGAAAGCGTTTATCCGTTGGAAGTAGGAAGGTTACGCATATAACACACTACACTTCCGCACTAGGTATACAAGGTATAAATTACAAAGTCAACATTATTGCACAGGCGTCCCTTGATGCATAGTTGCACAATAAAAAACTAGGGGCACTTCATAGTTGAAAGCACAAAATCGGTTTGACATACGCTGTCTTTTATTTTTAGGACCAATTTCAGAGCTAGAACACAGTCTATTGGAGCTTGTTGAAGAGCATTTCCACCCATGCATCCGTAACTCCTCCTTCGCACCAATGAAGGCAGTCGTTCTTCTTTGTATCTGGTGCTCCCCCTGTGGCAAAACCGGGGAATTACATTGGTCACTAAGTGTGCCCCACGTAAATTCTTGTACTGGTAATAGGACATCAAACTAGCATTGTGTTCAAAATCATCTTGCCAGTCCAAAGACATATTGCTTTTGAAGTTAGACTCACCTTTGACACTCCAGTTTTGGATGTGTCCATCGGGCCGCCAGTCGCTCATGGGCTTCACATCCACGTACACCACCGACGACCCCCTGAGAACACGCTGCTGGATGGCCCGCAGATCACTAGAGGAGCCGTCTCCACTGCGCACGCTGGCTGTCTGAGGAGGCAGGTTGGTACGGAGGCAAGGGACGAGATGTCAGGAATGGAGGTCTGACACGGAGCTCCTTCATTGTAAAATAAAAGAAAGGTGGTTGTCATACCTCTCCTCTTCCCTCTTTTTTGGTCTTCTGTCCCACAGGTGCTCCCCCCCTCTCCCTGCACTTCCCCCTCGCTCTCTCCCCTCCCACTGCGTTTCTCCCTCGAGCCCGCGCTTCCCTCTCCAGCCCGCGCTTCCCCCTCCCACTCATGCTTCCCCTCCCACCCGCGCTTCCCCTTCCCACCCGTACTTCCCCTCCCACCCGCGCTTCCCTTTCCCACCCCCGCTTCCCCTCCCATCTGCTCTCAACGCTCCCACCAGCGCTTCCCTTCCAACCTGCGTCCACGTACCTGCGCGCTGGTAAGCATGGAGTTGACTTTGCACGACCCCCTCTTGACGCCCGCCACGGGCAAGTCGTAGTGCGACGGCGACACGCCCATCACCACGGCGCGCCCCCTGAACCCGCCGCTGCTGCCCGCCACGTAGTCCCGCAGCGTCGTCAGTCCGCGCTCGTACGCCGCCGTCGCCTTCATCGTCGCCTCCTTGCCGCCCACGTACCACCGGTTGATAGGTGGCATCCACCACGCCGTCGCCTGCGCCACACAGCACGGAGGGCGATGCGCCGGGAGGAGAGAAATGGACTATGGAAACCCGAAGTGGGCTCGCTGTGGGCTCGCTGTGGGCTCTCATTCCTACGCTGCTCTGTGCCAAGCGGAGCTTGCAGGATGACGCGACGGCAGGCGCGGATGCGAGGCAGGGAGTGGATGCGAGGAAAGGCGCGTGCGAGGCAGGGCGCGGGAGCGAGGCAGGGCGCGGAAGCAAGGCCCGGCGCGGATGCGAGGCTGGGCGCGAAAGCGAGTCGGAGCGCAAGCTGACCTGGAAGATGACGATGTCAGCGATGGGCAGCAAGTCCTTGATGCGCTGATCCAGGCCGTCCAGGTCGATGCGGTGTTGCTCGATGCCGTTCTTTTCGGGCAGGCTGGTGGCGTTGTTGAGCCAGTTGGAGAACACGGACACGAACCGGATCTTGTACGTCGGGAACTGCACACTCACGCCGGGCCGCACGCCACACCACATAGAGAGTGAGATGGCGGACGGATGCCGGGCTAAGATGGTTAGGTGACGGGTGATGCAACGCAACGTGGGAGATGCAACGCAACGTGGGAGATGCAACGCAACGTGAGGCGCATGCATATGCGTTGTGTTTTAGGGGTACGGCGCCGCAACGTCTGCCGCACGTACCTCGACGCCCCACTCGGCGGTTTTCTTCTGCGCCAGGCGGTACGACCTAGCGGCGGTAGAGTCGGCGGCGTGCAGCATGCACTGCAGCGACGCGGCGAAGTTCTTGGAGAGCGAGTCGCCGAAGACCAGCACCAGCTTGCCGCGAAACATCTCCGCCAAACTCTGCGGCGACACGCGCTTCACAGAGCATCCCCTGGGCTGTAGGGTGGGCAAGGAAGCACATCGGGTGGGCGCGTAGAGCGAGCACGAGCGTGCGCGGAGTGGTGAGGAATACCAAGATCGATACACTCACTGCTCGACGGGCGCACCTGCCAGCGGAACTTCTGGAACGACATGTCCGGGCGGCCCTGCTTGAGGCAGTTCTGCGATGTGCGGATGTATGGACACGAGTTGCCTGTGTAGAGCGGTAACTTGCTGTCCGCTACCCACTTGCCCCGCGAGATGTCGCAACTCCATGATAACTGCGCCGCGCACTTCAAGAGGAAGGTTATAAAGACTACCACGAAAATTGAGGAATCGAATCTATATCTCTCTCCCATCACGTTGGCTTCGTTAGGGGTTCCCTGCCCTGTTCCAAAGTAGCGTGATTCACGAGCTCTGGAGTCCAGACCAGAGTGACCAGACTTATGACCAATTCCTTGTTCATAAGGATGTTCCACTGTCCCAATGCCTCTTCTGCATTTCATCTGTCACAGCCCCACCTCATTTTGACGAACCGCATGTGATGGCGGCCCGAGCTTTCTCATTTCCAGTACAAGACAGCCTTCCCCTTTGCGTCATGGACATGGACCGCCCACCGTCACAACACAATGCATGCACGGACTGGTTCCAGTCAGCAGTCGCAAATCGGCGGGAGGCAAAAGTTCCAGCGTTCCCGCGCAAACGGCAAACTGAAAACGGTGCGCCAAAGAACAACTTGGAGCAGCACACAACAGCTAAAAAAACCACTCACTAAACTCAAGTATTAAGATTGTGAGGATTTAGATAAAGAACTATCGCCTAAACCAGAAGAAGAAAGGAATAAAATCCAATACTGAGCAGGACCACACACACTATGGACACCTGCAAATGCTTAAAATGGATGTTGAAGACGTTTCATGAAAAACTTTAAGCATATGGAAGACAAACGTTATTTGAGCACGAATCACGATACAACGATAGCATTGTCAGAATGAGAACTACAGCGGAATGCGTTGTATTGACAGAATTGGGGTACATAACCTAACCCTAACTAGTTGTACCCCATATAGCCCAACCCATTACAGGCTATAATATTTGACACACCCCCATAGCCTAAGTGGGGAAGGCCAATCAACAACAAGCAACATACGGTCACAAGACCAGTCAAAAACAAGAGAAAGAAAACAAAGCTCAGGGTGGATCACAACGTCACCACCTAATCTGAGCACAAGCAAAGGGCCACAAGGCCAGTCCAAAAGTGTGCAAACAAATATATATATATATATAAGGTACAAGCAAACAACAGACAAAGAGCACCCTACAACAGTCAACTAGACCCAGTCTCAATGAGGCCTAACTGCAGACAAAACCGACGGTGGTCACAAGGCTGGAGGGCCTTGGTGAAGATGTCTGCAGTGTTGGCCTCGGAGGCCACAAAGTCCAGACGAGCCTGTCCGCGTCTCTGCAACTCTCGAAGGAGGAAGTACCTGACGTCGATGTGCTTCACTCTGCTCTCCAGTCGAGGCTCACGACACAGGAGAATCATCGCCTGTTGTCAGCAAACAGGGTCGGTGCAGAGCTCGGCCGCTCACCAAGGTCAGTGAGCAAGAAGGTCAACCAGCGTAGCTCCTGAGCAGCAAGGGCCCCAGCGTAGATCTCGGCCTCTGCGGTAGAAGTCGCAACAGAGGAGGACCGAGTAGACCTCCACGAAACAGCTCCAGAACCCAGGCTGAAACAGTAACCCTGCGTAGACCTCTGAATCTCAACGTCGTCAGCGTAGGAAGAGTCACAGTGACCGGTGAGTACAACTGGCTGTGTCCCTCCAAGTACAAGCCCCATGCCTGATGTCGCGCCAAGGTACTTCGCCACCCTCTTAGCCGCCGCCCAGTGAACAGGACGGTGTCTCCAAGTCGCAACAAAGCGAGACAGGATGCTAAGGGGGAAGGCGAGGTCCGGGCGAGTGCACGTCATCAGATACATGAGGCAGCCCACCAGCTCTGCGTAGGGACCACTGGGCTCGAACGGCTCGTCAGGAAAAGGCCCAGTGAGTCTGTGGTCTACAGCAAGAGGAGTGGGGGCAGGAGAAGAGTCCTGAAGCCCGAACCGCTGAAGAACCTGCTGCACCATGTGTGACTGAGTGAGAGTGATGGTGCGAGCGGCTCTGTCCCTGGAGATCTGCAGGCCAAGGTAGCGGCGCAGTTCCCCAAGGTCAGTGCAGGTGTGTCTCTTCTGCAGTTCGGACTTCACCTCCGCCAGTGCAGCTGTGTCGCCCGTGGCAAAAACCAAGTCGTCAACGTAGACTAGGACGAAGAAAGGTGTACGGCCACGACGAACAAACGGCGACGGGTCGGCAGAAGACGGCTCAAACCCGAGGTCGGAGAGAGTAGAGCGGAGAGTGTCGTGCCACTCACGGGGTGCCTGGCGGAGACCGTAGACCGGTCGTCTGAGGCTCCACTGGGTCCCAGGTGGGAAAGTGCCAGTGAAGCCCGGAGGACGACGCAGCCAGATCTCCTCGTGTAAGCAGCCCTGGAGGAAGGCAGTGGAGAAGTGAAGAGAGTGTAGCTCGTAGTCTCTCTGCGCTGCTACGTGCAGTAACACCTGAAGAGTGGTCATCTTCGGGGTGGGCGCGAAGGTCCGAAAGAAGTCAACCCCCTCGCGCTGACTGAACCCTCTAGCCACGTAGCGTGCCTTGAAGACTGGGGGAGATCCAGGCGGCCGCTTCACCTTGAAGATCCACATGCCGTCAACAATGTTCGCCCCTGGGGGGGGAACCTCGTCAACGTAAGTGCCTGTGGACCTGTAGGAGGCCATCTCTGCGTCCATGGCAGCTCTCCACTGAGAGGCCCAAGGCCCTGACACTGCCTCAGCGTAAGTGCGAGGAGTAGGTATGTCAGGAGCGTCGGGGTCTCCCTCAGGAGTGAGCAGCATGGCACAGAGATGAGGCGAAGCAGCTGCCAGGAACTCTAGCTCAAACTGTCTGTCCTCTAGGACGTCACAGCCAAGGGCACACACACCCCCGGCGGACAGAGGACGGACAGGAGGAGCTGCCACAACTCGAGTGGCGTAGTCAAGGCGACGCGTAGCAGTAAAGTCAGTGACAGCGGCAGTGAGGACCGCGACGGAGGAAGGAGAGGCACGAGGGTCTGTAACAAGAGAGGCGAGAACACGAGAGAGAGTGGGGCGGTACGTGCGGTAGTAGTCAGTGACCGGAGTGGACAGGGAGGCAGTGAGGGAAGACTCAGGAGGACGAGGAAGGACAGACGGAGGAGAACGAGGAGGACGAGGACGAAACAACACGGTACGGAGGTCAGTGACAGGGGACGAGGGACGAGCACGAGGAGGGCGAGAGGCCCAAGTGTGGGCGAGAGGAGGGGGGGACGGAGGAGACTGAGAACGAGGGAAGACAGCCGGAGTGGAGTTCGGAGGAGGAAACGTGGGACCGAACACAGGAGGAGAGGAGGGGAGACCAAGGGCCCGAAGGCCACAAACAGGGGCCGGAGGCTGCTCCGGCAGCTGCGGCGGCGGCTGCTGCTGCTGCTGCTGCTGCTGTGGCTGTGGCTGCGGCTGCTGCTGCTGCTGCTGCTGCTGCTGCTGCTGCTGCTGCTGTGGCTGTGGCTGCGGCTGCTGCTGCTGCTGCTGAAACTCCAACCGCTCACGCTCCACCCGCTGCTGAACCTCCGACCTCTCACGCTCCAAACGCTGCTGCTCCTCACGCTCTAGAAGACGAAGGGCCTGGTAACGAGTCGGGTAGGGGTGAGGAGGAGGAGTGGTGTCAGGAGACGACGAAGAAGAACCGGCTCCACCCTTGACAGGACCCGGCTGAGCACCCCCAGAGCGAGGACCCCCTGCGGCAGCACGACCAGTACCTGTAGGAGGTGTACCCGCACCCTAGTCGTGGCGCCGCCAGTGGCACCAGCACCAGCCCCAGACTCTCCAGCTCCAGAAACACCACCAGCTCCAGCACCACCACCGACTCCAACACGCTCGGGACGTGCAGCTGCGGCAGGTGCACGCTCAGCTCCAACTCCAACACCCCCAGAACCGGCACCGCCAGAGCCCTCACCTTGAGCACCAACACCCTCAGAGTCCGCAGTGGCCGGGAGAGGAAGTACCGACGGCTGCTGCGGAGGCTGTGAGGACGACTGTGGGGAAGGAGGAGAGACCTGGGGGGGGACCGAGGGAGGGGGGGTAGCCTGCGACACACCTGACGGAGCGGGAACCGGGGGGGGGTACCGGAGGAGAGGGAGCGGGAGGAGGAGGAGCTGGGGCGAGGAAGAGGGGAGGGGGGGGAACCGGGAGACCTCGACAGGGGTACCGGACGTAGTAGGGGACGGACTCGTCGAAACTGACGTCACGAGAGTCAAAGAACCGGTGGGAGGGAGGGTGGTAAAAGGTGAAGTCAGAGGAGGCCTCAGGGAAACCAAGGAAGACACAGGGGACGCCGCGAGGTGAGAGCTTGTCTGCAGAGGTGTCGCGGACAAGCGCCAAGCAGCCCCAGACACTAAACCCCGACGCAACACCAGGGGACCCTGTCCAAAGACTGGTCGGTGAAGCCCCTGGCTGAGAGACGCGAGGCCAGAGGTTCAGCTGGTGAGCGGCGTACCGAGCCGCGTAGGGCCACAGAAAATGGGGCGCGCGGGCGTGGATCATGGAGGTGCGGGCAATCTCCATGACCAGGCCTAGCCGGCGCTCAGCAACCCCATTCTGCTGTGGAGAGTCTGGAAGAGTCCAGGACTGGGTGATGCCCTGCTCATCACAGAATCTGGCGAGAATGCCGGAGCGAAACTCACCCCCACGGTCGGAGTGGAGACAACTGACACGACGACGGCGAGTACTCTCGGTGGCGAGCAGCCACCGGATCAACGTAGAAGTCACGTCGGACTTCTTCGCCAAAGGGAACACGGTGGTGTACCGAGAGTAGTCGTCAACGACCACTTGGAAGAAGCGCTCTCGCTCAGGTCCAAGCCGGGGAGCGGGGCCCCAGACGTCTAAGTGGAGTGTCTCAAAGGGCTCGGAGGCTGGACGAAGGGAGGAGGAGTGAGGAGTGGCGCGCAGCCGACCCTGGACACAAGGACCGCACGGAGGAGCGGGGGACGGCGGGAGCGGCGGGAGGTCGCGGGGGGGGCCTAAGACAAGACGCTGACTGGACATAGCGCGGAGACGAGAGAGGGACGGGTGACCAAGGCGGTGGTGCCAGAGGAGGGCAGGGTGGGACAGCGACCGACACGAGCACGACGCAGCCACTAGACCTGGCACAGCTACCTGACTGGACCTGGCTACCTGGTGGGACGGGGGAACCGGACGGGTGTCGGTGTGGAGGGTGTACAGACCAGAGCCCGGCTCCTGACGAAAAGTGGCCAGAGGGGCGTACGTATCACCGTCCACACAGACTGCAGTGTCACCCGAAGGCTCAAACCAGACCCCGACGTGCTGTCTCGCAAGAGGAGCCACACCAACCAGGTTCCTAGAGAAAGTAGGAACGTGGAGGCCGGTCAGAGAACCGGAAGGGGCAGCTGGGCACGGGAGGGTAGTGGCGTGAGTCGCAATGACCGGTCCCGAAGAGGGATCGGCCAGTGCTACAGAAACCGGCGCCGAGAGTGGAGTAAGAGTCGTGCTGTCGCAGAAGAAGCACTGCGTCGCTCCGGAGTCCAGTGTGAAGGAGAGCGACGCGTCCGCCGAGGGAGCACCTGTACTAGTAGCTAGACAGGATCCTACACCAGCACCTACTCTAGCAACAGACAAAGATCCTACGCTAGGTACAGGCAAGTAAACAGATCCGACAGCACTATAGTCAACATCAGCATACATGGCATAAGACCGAGCATCATCCATAGACATATCAAACACAGCAACACCACGAGCAAGGAGTGGTCCCCAGCGCGGTGGCGGGGGAGCGGAGGGACCGTGGTGCAGGACGTACAGGTCGTCAAGACGGCTGAAGCAGCGTGCAACAGAGTGGTCAGGGCGACCGCAGTACGTGCCCCTGCGCGGACCCGTCAGGATCCAGTACTCACAGGGACCAACGTCGCGGCCGGCCGAGCGGGGTCCCCGACTAGAAGGGGCACCACTGCGCCCAGTGCTCGGGGGGCCCGTAGGTCTCCACTGCTGCGGGGGGGCCCACTGCCGCGAAGGGCCCCACTGCTGCTGAGTGCCCCACTGCTGCAGAGTGCCCCACTGCTGGGGCTGCTGCTGAGGCGGACGCTGCTGTTGGCCCTGGCGCTGCTGCTGCTGCTGTCCAGGCGATGGCAGCTGCGGAGGAGTCTGCTGCTGCTGCTGCGAAAACCCCTCACCACCGTCTAGAGGAGAGCCGTCAGGTCCCGAGTCACCCCCGCCGCCACCCCCACCACTAGTACTACCGCCACCGCCGCCACCCGCAACACCCCCAGAACCCCCGCCGCCCTTCCCTCCCTTCTTGCCGGACTTGCCACGTTTCTGTCCGCCAGAGACAGAAACGGCCGCCGTCTCCTCAGAGGCAGAAGACGCGGCAGTGGCAAGCGAGGCAGTAAAGGTGGGAAGCTGTGGTACCGCATTCCTCAAAGAGACGAGGAGGAGGCGCGGAAGAGGCAGAGGCAACAGCGAGGAGGTTACTCTCGATCTTCGAGAGAGCGGTCTCAAGAAGATCGATAGTAAGCTCAGTGGGGTGCTTCAGGAGAAGCACGTCGCGGGCTGTGGCTAGACGGTCAGGGAGGCGAGTGACTAACCAGTGAATAGTGAGCCACATGGGGGGGGGTGCAAGGGCAAGCTGTTCCTCAGTGCAAGCGGCCTTGAAGCGAGCTTCAAGGGAGCGCAGGTGGGTAGCGAGGTCAGCGGCAGTCTCAAAGGAGGCGAGGTCAGGGTAGATAAAGGGGACGAGGAGGCGGCTGAGGGAGGCAGAGGAGGGAGTGGAGAAGCGAGCAACAATAGCAGTGTAAAGGTCTGCAGCAGACTCGACCTGAGTGAAGTGGACAGCCTCAGTTGGCGGGAGAAGGTCGGTCAGGGCGAGGCAGGCAGCAGCGTCACGAGACTCCCACACGTCACGAGCGAGGAACCGGCGCTGGTACTCAGCCTCCTGCTCGGAAGTAGGCAGTGGGGAAGTGGGCAGCGGTGAAGGCTGCGGCGGGGCGGGCAGAGCACCGGACGCATGCGCAAACAGGTGCACGCCATCCTGGCGCTGGCTCCTAAGGTGGTGCTGGGCCTGTCGGAACATTATAGCTGATGCATGTTTGTAGGCTATAGTGGGGTAGCCCATATGGGGTACAGGTTGCTAGGGTTTGCTATTTGTACCAATTTCTGACTTAGTCATTTCATTCCTGTTCAGTTAGTTTCACATGGTATAGAGCGGGTCCCTCCTAAGGACCGTTCTTTGGGCCCACCCACGATCTTTTTTTTTCTCTGCCCGGAGCGCGCCCTATTCTCCCCGAGGCGCGCTCCCCCTAGTGCGCGTCGAGCTGCCCTTGTGGCGCCCCGAGAGTCGCGCGCGCGACTCAATTTTTTTTTCGCGCGCGCGGCCCGGGCCCCACTTCGCGCGGCCCTTACATTCGCGCCGCGCCGCCCTCTCGGCTCTGCCGCGTCGCGCCGCCCTCGAGACGCCCGCGCGGCCTCTTCGTCGCTGCAGCAGGCCCCCCCCGCTGCACCTCTGTCGGCCCCGCCGCCGCCTTACCTGACGGCCGCCGCCTCACCTGACGGCCCGCCGCCTCGCCTTCTGGCCCGCCACCTCACCAGACGGCCCTGCCGCCTCACCAGACGGCCCACCGTCTCACCTGCTGGACCGCCACCTTACCTGACGGCCCCGCCGCCTCACCTGACGGCCCGCCGCCACCTTACCTGACGGCCCCGCCGCCTCACCTGACGGCCCGCCGCCTCATCTACTGGCCCGCCACCTGACCTGACGGCCCCGCCGCCTCACCTGACGGCCCGCTGCCTGACCTGCTGGCCCGCTACCTCACCTGACGGCCCGCCGCCTCACCCGCTGGCCCGCCACCTGACCTGACGGCCCCGCCGCATCACCTGCTGGCCCGCCACCTGACGGCTCCGCCGTCCCTTGTCCCGGCCCCGCCGCTGCACCCTGACGGCCCCGCCGAGCCGCCCAGCAGCAGCTGAGCCGCCCAGCAGCAGCCGAGCCGCCCAGCAGCAGCCGAGCCGCCCAGCAGCAGCCGAGCCGCCCAGCAGCAGCCGAGCCGCCCAGCAGCAGCCGAGCCGCCCGGTACCCGAGCCGCCCGAGCCGCCCGAGCCGCCCGAGCCGCCCGAGCCGCCCCACCAACCGAGCCGCCTGCTGCTGATCTACCCGACTCTTCCAGCCCGGTGAGCCTTTCAGCTGCTGCCATGGCCACCCCCAATGTTCTTACTTTTGACGCTGAGGGGAGGGCCATTGACTTTGCCGTCTGGATCGAGGACCTGCAGCTGTACTTACTGTGTGATGCGGTAGATGAGGTCTCTCTCTTTGACTTTGTCTCTGGAGCTGTCCCTGCCCCGCCTGCTGATGCTGACTCTGCCGTTCGCTCCAAGTGGGCGACCCGCGATGCTGCTGCACGTCTTGCTGTGCGTCGCCACCTCCCTTCCTCTGAGCGTGCCCACTTTAGTCAGTGCAAGACCGCTCAGGCCTTGTACGACGCTGTAGTTGCGCGCTACTCCTCCCCTTCCTCCGCTACCCTTAGCCGCCTCATGCTACCGTTTCTCTTCCCTGACCTTGCTTCCTTTCCTACTGTTGCTGACCTCGTTACCCACCTCCGCGCTAGTGACACCCGCTACCGCGCTGCCCTTCCTGCTGAGTTCCGCGCTGCGAACCCTCCTCCCATGTACATCACTCTCTACTTTCTCGTCACCCGTCTCCCTGAGTCCCTTCGTGTCGTTAGGGACCAGTTTCTCTCTGTCTGTCCCACCACTCTCACTGTCGACCTCCTTGAGGAGTCCCTGCTAGCGGCTGAGAAGAGTATTGTCGCTGTAGGGGCCTCTCGGGGTGACCCTCGCACCCCCATCTTTGAGGGGTGTGGTCCTTCCCCCCTGCTGCCCTCTGTCGCCTCTGCCGCTGCGGCCGACCTCGTTGGTTTTGAGTCGGTCGGCGCGGCGTCTGCCCCCAGCGGCAGACGCCGCACTGGCAAGGGCAAGGGGGGCAAGGGAGCGGGTGGAGCCAGAGGGGGCGGTGGAGGAGGCGGTGGGGGTGGAGGGGGGAGTGGGGGTGACGGTGGGGGTGGTGGCGGGAGTGGAGGTAGTAGTGGCGGCGGTGGAGGCGGAGGTGGCGGCGGAGGTGGTAGCGGAGGAGGTGGTGGGAGCGGTGGGAGCGACGGTCCTGGTGGGGGAGGGGGCGGTGGAGACGGAGGTGGCGGTGGAGGAGGGGGTCGGAGTGGCTCGTCCCAGCGGAGCAGCTCTGGGGGTGGTCAGCGCCAGCAGCAGCAGCAGCAGCAGCCGCAGCAGCAGCCGCAGCAGCAGCAGCGCTCTCGCACCGTCCCCGGCCCTCAGCAGCTCCGTGAGTGGTACTTGCAGCGTCAGCGCGGTGGTGCGCTTGGTCCCTGCCCCTACGTTCTTCGCACTGGTGACCGTGCAGGGGAGAGGTGTGGAGGCGCCCACACAGCCCGTCGCTGCTTTGGCCGCCTCACCGACGCCTGGCGTCAGCAGTTTCCGGAGGCCGCTGAGATCCCCCGCTGGGGAGAGCTGTCTAGGGCTGGTGTAGCTATTTATGATCTTGACTTTGATGCTATTCTCTCTGCTATGTATGCTGTGACTGGTAGTGATGAGGATGACTGTTACCGGTGTTTCCCGCCCGACCCGGGCATTGGTACTGCCGCGTCAGGTACTACTGAGGCTGCTGCTCTAGGTGCCAGTGCGTCTGTGCTCTCAGGTACTGGTGAGTCCGCCCTCTCAGGTACTGTGTCGGCTTCGGCCTCTCACACCTTCATCCTTGACTCTGGAGCGTCTCGCTCCTTCTTTAGGGACCGCACCACTCTCACGCCGCTGAGTCGGCCTGTTGCGGTGTCCCTGGCGGACCCCTCTGGGGGGCCTGTCCTGTCTCGCTTCTCCACTGTCCTCCCGTGTCCGGCGGCCCCCTCTGGCACCCTGACTGGTCTCTACCTCCCCTCGTTCTCGACGAACTTGGTGAGTGGTGCTGACCTCCAGGATGCGGGTGTCCACCAGTTCACCCCTGCTCGTCAGCGGGTGACCCACTGTACGGAGGCGGATACAGGTCGCCACCTGGCTACGTTTACACGCCGGCCGGGGTCGAGCCTGTACACACTGACCACTGCTTCTCCTCCAGGTACTGCGTCTGGTAGGGTCCCTTCGTCTGGTCAGGTGTTTGCTGCAGCGTCCAGGTCTGGTCCTGAGTCTGCCCCTTGTTCGTGTCGTCGTCTGTCTCACGAGACCCTCCTCTGGCACCACCGCCTTGGCCACCCCTCTCTGCTTCGGCTCAGAGGCATGGCCTCGCGGGTCCTTGTGTCTGGTCTTCCCCGGTCCCTCCCTCCCCTTCCTCCGGGCCCTGGCCCTGCCTGTGTCCCCTGTGTCGAGGGGCGCCAGCGTGCTGCCCCTCACTCCTCCCAGTTTCCTCCGACAGAGGCCCCGTTGCAGACGCTTCACATGGACGTGTGGGGCCCAGCCCGCGTCCGTGGACAGGGTCAGGAGCGCTACTTCCTGCTGGTGGTTGACGACTACTCGCGTTACACCACAGTCTTCCCCTTGCGCAGCAAGGGTGAGGTCACTCAGGTGTTGATCGACTGGATCCGCGCAGCTCGTCTTCAGCTTCGGAGGAACTTTGGCTCTGACTTCCCTGTTTTGCGTCTGCACTCGGACAGAGGAGGAGAATTCTCCTCTGCCCTCCTGAGTGCCTACTGTCGTGTGCGAGGCATCCGTCAGACCTTCACGCTTCCAGAATGGGATCGCTGAGCGCCGCATTGGCATGGTTATGGACGTCGCTCGTACGTCCATGATGCATGCGGCTGCTCCCCATTTTCTGTGGCCGTTTGCGGTCAGGTACGCTGCGCACCAGATCAACCTCCACCCCAGGGTCTCTCGACCGGAGACCTCCCCAGCTCTGCTGTGGACGGGGAAGGTTGGCGATGCGTCGGCGTTCCGGGTCTGGGGATCTCGGGCGTTTGTTCGCGACCTCTCTGCGGACAAGCTGTCCCCTCGTGCTTCTCCCTGCGTCTTCCTCGGGTTCCCCCCCGACGCCCCTGGGTGGCAGTTTTACCACCCCACCTCTCGACGTGTTCTGTCCTCCCAGGACGTCACGTTCGACGAGTCGGTACCCTACTACCGCCTCTTCCCCTACCGCACTCCGTCCCTCCCCCCACCCCCGCTCTTCTTGGTACCAGGTCCCCCCCCAGTAGTCCCCCTCCCCCCTCAGGGTCCTGCCCCTTCAGGTGTGTCTCAGGTAGACGCGGTCGAGCCTGTCGAGGTCACTGGTGACTCTGGTGCTGCTGCGGGAGCTGAGCCTGGGGGTGCGGAGTCTGGGGGTGCTGGGCCTGGGGGTGCTGAGCCTGGAGGTGTCGAGCGTGGGGGTGCTGAGCCTGGGGGTGCTGTGCCTGGGGGTGCTGAGCCTGGGGGTGCTGTGCCTGGGGGTGCTGTGTCTGGGGGTACTGAGCCTGGAGGTGCTGAGCCTGGTAGTGCTGTGCCCGGGGGTGCTTCGTCTCGCCGGGAGCCGCTCTCTCCACAGGAGCTGCGTGAGTGGTTTGCCCGGCGCTGGAGGCGTGCTGCTGGTGCTGGTGGTTCTTCGGCTGCGGAGGGTGCTGCTGCCACGCGACCTGGCGGTGCTCGTCCTGTGGGTGCTGGAGCTGCTGGGTCTGAGGGTTCTCCTGGAGCTGGTCCTGCTGAGGACGTTGGCGCTGAGCCTGCGGTTGGTGGTCCGACTGACGGTGCTCCTGGTGCTGCTGCTGGAGGTTCTGGAGCTTCTGGTGGTTCTGCTGGAGGTGCTGCTGGAGTGGGTGCTCCGGCCGGAGCTGCTGGTTCTGTTCCTGCTGTTTCTGGCGTCGCCGCGCGGTCTCGACCGTACTTCGTTCCGCTCCTGCAGCAGGTTCTTGGTCTTGCTCCTCCTCCTCCTCCCTTAGAGGGTCCGCAGCCTGTCCGGTCACAGCCACAGCTACAGCCTGCCTCCCCTTTGCCTGCTCCTTCTCCCTACGCTGGTCCGACTGGAGGCCTTACTGAGCGTCGTGAGCCTGCGTCTCGTCCTGCGTCTCCTGTTCGTACTGAGCGCGCTAGTGGTCGCGGGTCGCGTCAGCGTCCTCCTCCTGTCCCTGGCACGCACCGGATGTCACTGCGTCCGTCCACTGCTCCTCTGCGTGCCCCTTTGCCTTCTCCTCCTGCTTCCTCTCTTCCTGCTCTTGCCGACCCCGAGTCGGACTCTCTTCGTGCTGCCAGTCCTACTGTCACGCGTCTCCTTGCTACTGCTGTCACTGACCCCTCCTTCGAGTCGTCTGCTGCGTCTGCCCTTGTCACTGAGCTTGTCGACTTTGCTGCGCGCTGTCGTCTAGACTACGCTGCTCGTCTTGTCGCTGAGTCTGCGTCCGCCTGTCCTCCGTCCGTCGGGGGTGAGTGTGCCCTTGGCACGGACGTCCTAGAGGACAGGCAGGAGGAGTTTCAGTGTCTAGCCGCTGCTTCACCTCGTCTCGCGTCTGTACTGCTAGCCCCTGAGGGAGACCCGGATGCACTAGACATCCCGACTCCGCGTTCTTACGCGGAGGCCGTAGAGGGTCCCTACTCCTCTCAGTGGCAGGCAGCTATGGATGCAGAGATGGCTTCCTGGAAGTCCACAGGCACCTACGTTGACGCGGTTCCCCCTCCTGGGGCGAACATCGTCAGTGGCATGTGGATCTTCAGGGTGAAGCGGCCGCCGGGCTCCCCGCCCGTCTTCAAGGCGCGTTACGTGGCTCGTGGCTTCAGTCAGCGGCAGGGAGTTGACTACTTTCAGACCTTCTCTCCCACCCCGAAGATGACCACTCTTCGGGTGCTACTGCACATTGCCGCTCAGCGCGACTACGAGCTTCACTCTCTCGACTTCAGCACTGCGTTCCTGCAGGGTAGCCTGCACGAGGAGATCTGGCTGCGCCGTCCGCCTGGCTTCACTGGGACTTTCTCTCCTGGCACCCAGTGGAGCCTCCGACGGCCAGTCTACGGTCTCCGCCAGGCACCGCGTGAGTGGCACGACACACTGAGGACTACGCTTGCGGCTCTTGGGTTTGCTCCTTCTACTGCTGACCCGTCGCTGTTTCTTCGCACCGACACTTCCCTGCCGCCGTTCTACATCCTCGTGTACGTCGACGACTTGGTCTTTGCCACAGCGGACACTGCTGGACTCGCCTACGTGAAGTCCGAGCTGCTGAAGAGACACACGTGCACAGACCTGGGTGAACTGCGTAGCTACCTTGGCTTGCAGATCACTCGGGACAGAGCACTCCGCACCATTACCCTGACTCAGTCACACATGGTGCAGCAGATCCTTCAGCGCTTCGGCTTCACGTACTCCTCGCCTCAGGCCACTCCTCTGCCTACTCGCCACTCACTCTCAGCTCTGCCTTCCGATGAGTCCGTAGAGTCGAGTGGTCCGTATGCAGAGCTTGTTGGCTGCCTCATGTACCTGATGACCTGCACACGACCTGACCTTGCATACCCTCTGAGCATCCTTGCACGCTATGTTGCTCCTGGGAGACACCGACCAGAGCACATGGCTGCAGCGAAGAGGGTATTGCGCTACCTGTGCAGTACGTCGGGCATGGGGCTAGTGCTTGGAGGGCGGAGTCCAGTGGTCCTTACAGGGCACGCAGACGCTTCTTGGGCTGACGACCAGGCTACGCAGCGGTCGTCACAGGGTTACACCTTCAGCCTTGGTTCCGGCTCTGTCTCGTGGCGATCTACTCGCTCGTCTTCGGTTCTCGGCTCCAGTTGTGAGGCTGAGATCTACGCCGGGGCCATGGCTGCACAGGAGCTTTGCTGGCTCACCTACCTGCTGACTGACCTTGGAGAGCCGCCTCGTTCTCCTCCAGTGCTGTACGTAGACAACAAGGCCATGCTGGCCTTGTGTCGAGAGCAGCGCTTGGAGCACAGAACGAAGCACATTGCTCTCCGCTACTTCCTTGCTCGTGAGCTGCAGCAGCGTGGTCAGTTGCGACTTGCTTACGTGGCCTCTGAGGCCAACACTGCTGATGTGTTCACCAAGGCACTTGCGCCTTGTGACCATCAGCGCTTTTGTACCCAGCTGGGTCTTGTACCTGTCTTGCCTCACTTGCTCTCTTCTTGACTTTACTTGTACTTTGACATATATATACCTGCACTTGCTTGTCTAGTTTTATATATATGTCTGTACTCCTGCATGTGAACTGGCCTCTGGCCCTGCTCTTATGCTCGGACTGTGTGGTGACTTTGTGATCCACCCTGAGCTTGTTTTGCTTTGCTTGACTGGTCTTGTGACCCCTTGTTCTCCCCCACTTTGCCTATGGGGGTGTGTCGGAACATTATAGCTGATGCATGTTTGTAGGCTATAGTGCGGTAGCCCATATGGGGTACAGGTTGCTAGGGTTTGCTATTTGTACCAATTTCTGACTTAGTCATTTCATTCCTGTTCAGTTAGTTTCACAGGGCCTGCGTCAGCCAGGTACTAAAGTCGATCGCACGCCCCTCAGGGTCGAAACGGAGTACGCGAGACGTCGCCATGAGGGGCGAGGACAAGTGATAGCGGCCGCCAGCCGCGAGAGGAGGAGGAGAGGGAGGTGAGTGCGAGGCGGGTGCGCGCAGGCGGGGCGCGCACTGGCTGGGCGCGGGGCGGCGGGGCGCGCGCTGGCGGGGCGCGCTC